CATCAAGACCAGTGATAACAATCAGAAGATGTGTACGATATGGAGGTGGAGCAGAAAGTGTAGCAGATGACCGATGAAGACAACCCTTATTGTCGACAAGCGTGTCATTGCTGCCAAGGCCATTCTCCATCTACATTGCTTGAACATTGGTTGCCACCATCTCCCCCTTAGTGCTTGCCATCTCTGCAGCAACCCCTCTAGCCTTTGCTCGCAGATGTTGCAACCATATATAGGGACCTTCAACCATTTTCATAATCATTTTTTCTAGGAAACGAAATTGAAAACAATAAAGCTAGAAATGAAAACGGTATCGAAAAACCGGAAACTAGACTTATACATGTGTATCGATCAAAAACTAGTAATAAATGTCGGAAACATTGAACTACAGAATCTCACATTTAACTTTGCATAAATAATATGATGAAATAAATTCAAGGTTACACCATGTAAATTACAAGTTTTTTTTCCATTTTAACCTTGTCCTCAAGTTAGGCTTTGGTTGATGAGTTGATGGGTCTGTAAACTATGGGTCAAATAAAGAAATAGATCATAAATATTACTGTATTCAAAAATAAGATAATTACTGTAGTATAAAAATGACAATTACCGTAAGAATACGATAAAATTCGGAAACAAATAACCATTTTCACATTGCTCAGCTGGTAAAAATATCAGAAACAAGCGTCGATCAGTCTGAAATTTCCGTGACCATTTTTACCCCTATCTCTAATTGAGAACGCAGAAAAAGACGAGTAGACACCAGGATCTGATTCCGGCTACGGATGGCCCAGGTTAGGCCGAGCAGACTTGTCTCGCTTGCAAGTTGCAAATGTTGCTATTTATACTGGTCCAGTTGAAACCACTCTAAGGATCGTGGCCCGCGGCTTACCTTATTTGCCTAAGCATAGATATCCTGTAAAGCTATTTCAGATCTTCACAGAAACATATATGAACCGGTTGCTTTCTTTTGTGTAATGATGATGAACCGGATTCGTTTGCTCTATCATTGCAATGTGAAGACACAGTAGCGATCACTCTTGTATCCAAAATATCAGTTAAGATGATTTGCTACCTTGTTCATCTCTACCATTACCAGTATCTTATTTTACTATAAAGTTGATGAACATTACCTCCTAAACTTCAACATACAAGTGTGCCACATCATCATCACCCACTAATAATTATTATTTAAAATATTTTAAATATCATGCAAACATAACATATCATTTACAATTTTGTTATATTTTTAGAACTCAATATGCAAGCAATGTAAAATCATTATCTCCGCATCATTTCACATTATTTAAACATATACATCTACCATTTCTATAGTGTATAACATATATTCATTCACATATCCCACAGTAAAGCGCGGGATATCAACTAGTTCTTAAGACGAAAAAGCGAAGCAAGGTGACCCATTTGGGCAACCTCAACATTCGTGGCCCACCCCTCGATTTTATATGGTTTTGAACAAAAGACACACACATGGGACGTAAAAGTCTAGACGGTTGTGACGCTCTAGCCCATCGCGGTACTTAGATGCTAAAGCGATGACAAAGGCAATGCTTTAAGAAGCATGAAGGTTATATAATATGTATATCTATATTATTAGAACTCACTTAGTGTAGTTATTGCTATAAAGAAGCCACCAAAAAAGACCACATCACCACTTACGGTTGAAACAATTTGATGATGCTTAAACAATTCAAATTAGCACATGATCTTTCTAGCTAGCATAAGCATTCTTTTCTATGGGATTAGTCTTATTAGATCAATATATTGCAATTTTACACTGCACTATACACACAAATATCCCACAACAGCACCTGGAGTGTCATTTAGTAGAGCATCTCCCGAAGAAGCCCTATATATAACTCCTAACAGTCAACCTTAAGGATTTTAAGGGCCTCTTTGTTTAGGCTTAGGCTTTTTGTCTTGTGCTTTTAAGTCAGCTTAAGGATTTTAAGGGCCTCTTTGTTTAGGCTTAGGCTTTTTGTCTTGTGCTTTTAAGTCAGCTTTTTGGCTTGATTTATAAGTCAATGGATTTAAAGTTTTAAGTTTAATGGTGGAGTCATACCTCTACCACACATAAGCCAAAAAAAATTTTCTCCAACCTAGCTTTTGGCTTAATAGTGTAAGAGTGGCTTATGACTTTAAAAAAGTCAAACAAAAAAGTTATCTTTGTTTAGGCTTAGACTTTTCGGCTCATAAGCTGGCATATAAGCCAAAACAAAAAGGGCCTAAGGTGCCAAACCACCTCCAACAGGATGCCAAAACTACTCCCTATATTTATCAAACACCAAAAGCATCCATCTTCCCTAATTATAGGGAGTGCCCTTGGTTCAAAAAAGAGACGATGATTAGGGTTCATCTATCAGTGAAATAGGATAGAGAGTGAGATATAGGGAGCCCATCAGATAGTGAAGCTACACGGAGAGAATCTTTGGAATAAGGACATAGGGAGTGAGTTTTTGGATATAAGAGCATGACCAACAAATAGCTAAAATATATCCTTAAAATTTTGCTTTTATGATTCCTAATAAAATTTTTGGGTGTGAATAGATTCCTCCCTCGAAAAAGATCTAAAATTTAACTCCCTATAGTAAAAAGTGGGTCTACCTACCAACAGAAAAATAAACGGATATCGCCTCTCCACCTCCTCCTGCTGATCACTCACCTGCCAGGGCAATCCCTCGCCTCTCCACCTCCTCCTGCTAATCGCTCACCTGCCAGGGCGATCCCTCTCCACAAGTAGCTCTCTCTGCATGTCTGCCGACACGCCCCCTTACTAGTGGAGAGTGACAAGAACAGGGAATGAGGTTCCAATATTTAGGAAGCTAAATAGTAAAAAAAAAAACCCTAAGTTTTGGGATTAGAAGTCATGTTGGGCATATGTTGGTGATTCTTTAAGTGCCTTCCAATCTTGAAATTTTAGTTTTTTTTAGAAAATAAAATTGCCTCCAACAATCCCCTAGTTAGTTTCCCAACGCGTTGAGGATCACTCTACAGGAGAGGGAGGGATCGCACATGAGAGGTGGGGAGCGATTTCTATTTGACAAATTCTGCTACTGGACATCCAAATTTTGTGTAATTTGCTAGTAGACATCGCAAAAACGTGTTACGGCTGAAAGACACCATAAAAAACTGATAATTTGTTGGATAACACTTTCGACTCAATTGAAGAGAGAAATTCTTAAAAAGACGAGAATGCCCCTGGAGCCAAAAGCTTCTGAACTGAGGTTAGAGTGAATATGAAATATGATGCATGCTAACGATGTACTTAGGGCAATTACAAATTTAGAGCTACATAAATTTTCACCTAACGTCATGTTTGAAGCACGTGGTCCTAAGGTGTTTTCATGTTTCTTAAGAATTCATCTCTAAAAAAATTGAGCCAAAAGTGTCATCAAAGCAAATTACATTTTTTTAGCACCTTTCAGTCGTAATATGTTTTTGCGATGTCTACTGATAAATTACACAAATTTTGAGTGTCATGTAGCCAAAATTACCCTTTTATTTATGTTAGTAGTTTAATTTTTAGATATTTCTTAGAGAGAAATTTATTTACACCTAAAACTTTTTTTAAGAATCATAAAGGCAGAATTTTGGAGATATTGTTTTTGGGCATGAGTTGGTGATGCTCTAAGTGATCCGAGCATCATTACGTCCTACAAAAAGGCATTATGCTGAAGTATAATAATCGAGCTCCAACAATACAACACAGATCAGAAAGCAGCGCACCGCTTACTACGGTTATCACAAAGCAGCACTGCTTAAGGGAATATATGGAAAATTCACAGTGGCTCTCGATCATTTCCCACTTGCCAAGAAGCTTTCGCCAGTGCTACTCCCGCAAGCTAATTGGCACTTTTACTCTGAATTATTGACCATTAAATTCTATCCTGCAACTTACTAACTACCAATGGGCGCGCGACTGAGACGAAGGATAGATGCTTTGGCATGACCGACCGTCCATGTCTCCCGCAAATCCCTCTCAGCATCGATCAGCGTCGGCCACTGGTACCGCCGACGGGGGCCATCATCGTGGCAAAGATGAAGTAGCAGCAGGCTACGTTGATGCAGAAAGGCGTGGACTCTAGTGATGAACTTCTAATGAGGATTTTTCGAGCTGTACATGTCGTAGGTTGCATCACCCGAGGCAATAGAGGACAGAGACAACGGTGACGTTACCATCTACCCATCCATGCAGGCTAGTGCCAGAAGCATATGGAGTTGGCGATGGTGGGGGCTGGGGAGTGATGGTATCAGATGTTGGAGGTTAGCTCAGGTGGATGCCGGCGGCCGGCGGGGTCCTCACCGTGGAGGTTGGCTAGGAAAGGACAGTGGCTGCAGCCTGCAGCGTCGGCGGCTCACCGACGAACTCGCCTGGCCTTGCCGCAGCTGTGGGGAAGGGATATGGAAGGGAGGGGAGAAAGAGGGTCGACCAGCTCGGTTCGCCTCGGCTTGTTAACTTTACCAAGCTAAAAGCCTAACTCGGCTCATTAATGAGCTATTATCTCTTCTTTTAAAAAGTCTACCAAATTATCATACGTTAACATAAAAAAAAACACTAAATCGTAAAGAACTCACTAAATACTAGTTTGGATGTAATTAAATGACTAAATACTAGTCAATAAGCACCAAGTATAAAAAGATATCATGACCTTCTATACTATCAAGCTAAATGAATAGCTCATGAGCTAACAAGCTAAAAACCTAGCTCGGCTCGGCTCATTGTACTACAAGTTTGAGCTTATCCAAGCCATAAGCTTGAAGCTTTTCTTTCCACCCCCAGGGGAGAAGAATAGTAGGGCAATATGGGAATAAGGGCCCCTTTGATTCGCAGGGTTGAAAAAACAGAGAAATTAGAAAAACACATGATTCTGATAGAAATTGGAGTGTAAAACAGAGGATTGCAAAACACAGTAAAAACACAAGAAGGATCGTTTGATTGTACAGCAGGAAAAACGCATGAATCGAATGAGAGAGATAGACTTAAAGGAAATTTTCCACGAGGTTGGAGCTCTTGATAAGTTTCCTTCAAAATCTACATACAATGTATCATTCCATAGAAATTTCATAGGATTTGAAAAGCTTCAATCCTTTTTAATCAAATGGCCAAATAGGAAAATTTTCTATAATATTTGAATCCTATGAAATTCCTATATAAATCCTTTGATTTAAAGGGGCCCTAGAAGTGTCATATTCAGCAAAAATAAATAAAAAAATAACATAGGCAAAAGCGAGAAATGTTCAATTTACTAGAGTGGCAAGTGATCAAGAATCACTATGAGGTTATCAATTTTCTTGAAGTAAAATGGGATTGAAGAACAAATTCCATGATTTTTCTAGTAGAAGAAACAAATTGATATGAGCTACGACTTCGATGGTTTCTATATGATACTACTGTTACAAAAAACCTTACCCTATTGTGCAGTTGCACTCAAACTTTACCATACAGGTTTATCATCATTCACCAAAAGCAGCATTCAAATTCTAATTACATGGTCCTATCAGTCTTTCGTTATCAATTCGACTATACAGTGTGCTATTCACAATATATACAAGATGGAGTGACAAATGATTAATAATCCTGATTTAGAGTTAAGATGCCTTGTAGAAAACCTGGTAAAATATGAACCTGCATTAGCTTTTAGTGGTTTAAGTACAGTACTATGTTTATTTAATTCTTGTGTAATAGAATCAGATAAAGGATGAAGTCTTCCACGTAGAAACATGAATTGTGAGGGGGAGATGTGTCAATATTATCACTGAGCATTTCTTTTCTAGGAACCAACCCCTTGGGTTATTTTGACAGGTTGGATGAGAAATAAAAAGAGCTGTTTCCCCAGAGGACAAATTATACTAGCTAGCATGGTACAGGGGTAATAATTGTGGGTAATTGGCGGGTGGCGATTCTAGCAACAAAAGGTATTGCAAGACAATAAGTTATTTAACCAAAGATAAATTAAGGTAGAACTATAATCCCAAACATCATCACATAAACGGAACTCAGAAGTTGTCTACAAGCTTACTAATAAAGTAGACAACAAACAAAAAGAGGTATACATACCTTAATCTCCCTGTTAGAAAGTCCAACTATCAGCCTTCCATCCCAGTACAGTATTGAAGTTATAATTGAATCACAAGTAAAGGTAGCAACATCTCTGATTTCCACCTCTGAATCATCTTCCAATAACTCCTAACATAATTAACCCAAGAAAAATGCAAGGTAATCAATACATGTTAGATATAGAGCACTTATGTTTTAGAAAATGCATGCTTATGTTTTATAGTTCATATGAACAAAGCAACTAAACAGACCTGAATATTTACAACTTTATCCCATCCACCAGCATAGAGCCACTTGTCATTCAATTTAGCAGCATATATAGCACCGTTTTGAAGTTTCTCTGACTTTACTAGGACATCATCCTTCCAGATCTGATTGACAAAAATAAAAATGCCATGATTTAGCTTACGCACAAACCACATTGACTGCAATTAAAATTATAACACAACGTGACCAGAATATACACATTTCACATTATAAGTCATGATTGAGGTATAGGGAAACCTTCAAACAGCCATTTTCATATGATGCAACAACAAAATCGAGTTCTGTTGAAATTGACAGCACAGGAGTAATGCTTCCTGGTGTACCATCTTCCAGTACAGACAGCGGGCTGTGATCAGTGAGCCACCATGATCTAATAGAACCATCCCAACTTCCACTGTAAAGAATACCACAGGCAACCGCAAGGCAAGAAACAGTTGATTTGTGACCTGTCATTGTGCAGCGTAGTGAATAATCCTGAAAAAGGGGGATAGAGAATTAACTTCACATAACATGCTAAAATTAAGATAAATGGATATGAACCCCTTAACCATATGAATGACCAAATCAGACTTGTTATCAAGATAATAGGAGGGAAACATTCTGGAATCAACTTCCAGGGCAAACTGTACTCTAATGTTAAATTTTAGTCCAAACACCAACATTATTATAATCCCTGTATGCTAATTAATAAAGCAAATTGGATTAGCATCTTTACCTCTAGAGACCAAGCCTTAATAGATTTGTCTCTACTACCAGTGTAAAGATAACCAGTTCCAGAAACAGCCAAACAGTGAACACCTCGATAAATCCAATCATTACTTTCATACCACTTATTCAATGGTTCATTACTGAGTGAAGGATCAACACACCAGACAAATATTCCACTACCACTGTCTCCACTTATACAAAGTGACTGATTATCATTGTCAACAACAACAATTGCTGTGATTTTGTGTTCATGGCCCTTCAAACTTTGTTTATGAGAGAAGTCCTGTAGAAAGAACCCAAGGACCAATAGAAGTCAGAAAAATGAGCCACGGAAAACTAAAGAGGAGATAGAAATGATACTAACAGAACTGACAAGAAAGAGAAGAGGAGAGAAGATACCTGCAGTGACCATACATTGATTGTCTTGTCGTAAGAAGAGCTAAACAAAAAGCCTCCTGCAGTCAATGAAGATCTATTATTGGGAAGTCCTTGAGTGGCAGTTCTTGTTAAGTGCATAACATTAAAAATATCCACTAGCATAATAAGATGTGTCATGACCATAGAATAACACCACAGATGAAAGAATCGGATACTCTAGCAAGGACGCCAACAATGAAATCAAAAATCTAGTGCAAACTAACGGTTACCTGCAAGATTTCAAAACATTTACTTAACATCAAATTAACATAAAAACCTCCAAGTTATAATTTATGTTACCTTCATTGACAAGTTTGACATGAGAAACCTATGATAAATGATAAACTAGAATGAAATGAAACAAAACGAAAACAGAGTTATTCAAAATCTTCTCCTTTTTGCATGTTCATATGTATCTCATAACACACATTAATGTTGAACATGAAATTGTCAAAGGATCTAAACACTAGGTAGATGACATTAATATTTCGTTTTAAAACTATCCAGATAGCAATGGTGTCCAAATCAATAGTTTCAATGTAGAACTTAGTTGCTGGTTTGCACTATATATGCCTTAAATAATTAAAGTTGTAAATACTCCAATATGTTATACCTCCAATGGCTAATCCCGTAATACAGTCACGGTGAGCAAGCAGAGTTGAAGAATTGTACAGTCCACATTTTGGCCCATCCATTCCAGCTGCACCAACTTCTTCGTTGTTTATAATACCACCACTGCTTGCATCATCTGGAGTTGAATGTTTGTCATCCAAATCCTGAGAAAGATGCATTGTATCATCTGACTCAACAGCACCAAGGTTAGAGCACATTGAGGACAACTCCCCAAGGAGCAAACACATAAAACTCTTTCGAGCTGCAAGATCAACATTAGGAATCAAAGCTTCAATGTCGGAATTCATCAATGAGCCGTTAATACATTTCCAGACATCAGCAATTTCTGGACGGCCTTCTGGATCATAGTTCAAACATGACACTATGGTTGCAGACCATGGTTCCATATGTGTGCCAACCAATGAAGCATCAACCTTCGTAAGCACTTCATTCTTCCAATCATCGTATGACCCCTCAGTACTCCATCCTGCTGCAAGCTGCTCATCCCCAGTTACAAGTGCCACCAATAAACAACCAAGCAACCAAGCATCTGAACTAGGCCCTAACAAGCCACTGAAATCATGATCCTTTATCTGCAACTTGTCATGCACCACCTCTGCCACCTCAGGAGCCATGAAGGCCTTAGACTTGGATGAGCAAACCCCTACCCGAACCCCGTGGCACAAGGCCAAAACCTGATTCAGGTCGAGCAGGCAGTGTCCAAAGCGATCGAGGCAGAAGCATCCTAGCCCTATGCACCCCAGTACCAGCCCCTCTCCGTGCAATCCCATGAACGCTTCACAGACCTCCATTCCGACATTTCTGATCAGAGCCACCGTCTCCTCTCGTCGGCTCCTCTCCTCCAACAAGCAGGAGACTCCGCGGGAATGCCGCTCGGAGAGCAGCCACAGCGGAGCCGCCTCGGGGCCCATCCAGAAGCCGTAAACCCTGCAAACCCGCCGCGCCAACCGCGACGAGACGGCCACCAAATCGATCACTTCATCCCTCGCCGCGGCGCTCAGCGCATCGATCGCGGCGGCCACCCGCGCCGCGTGGCTGGGCCGGTAGTACAACGGGGACTCCTGCTTGGCGGCGGCGGCGGGGGTTTCGATCGGGAGGAGGCTTACGGGGTGGCCACGCGGGCAGAACCACGGGGCGCCGAGGTCGGAAGCGAAGGACCCGATGGCGAGGCCCGCGGCGGGAGCGGGCGAGTGGAGCGGCGAAGCGGACTCCGGGAGGACGGCGTGGCGGAAGCGGGAGAGGAGACGCGAGTGGTCCGCGTGGAGCGGGACATGAGGAGGCGGCGGCGCCGCGGCGGCGGTGCGAGAACGAGAGGGGTTTGGGGGCGAGGGGAGGAGGGAGATGAGGGCGAGGTTTTTGGGGAGGGAGGAGGGCCCGAGAGCGCGGGAGAAAGGGACGCACTGGGAGCAGAGAGGGCAGCGGAGCGAGGCGGCGGAGGCGGAGGCGGAGGCGGAGGCCGGCGGGAGGGAGGCGATGCAGGGGCCGCAGAGGGAGTGGCCGCACGGGAGGACCCGCGGCGCGGCGGAGGCGGCGTCGAAGGGGGAGAGGCACACCGGGCACTCGGGAGGCTCCGCGTCCGGCGGTGGCGATGCGGTGCCCGCCGCCATGGCCGCCTCTTATGCTCGGCCGGGGAGCTCGCCGGCGTCGGGGACTCGTTGGTTTTGACTATACGGCCGGCGGAGCACGGGAAGGAGCAACTCGCCAAGTGGGCCGAGGAAGGGAGGTTGACTTGTGATGTGTGGGCCAACATGGTAGCGAGAGGAGAGAACACCAAGCGCAGCAAAAAAAAAAATAAGTTCACAAGCTGTCCCTCGACTCTACGTCGAGTCTCTTTGAGGTCCCTAATCTCTAACTAGGTCCATAAATCTTCACCCCTAAATTATACAAAATCGTGTAATTTAGGTCCATAGCAGTATAGATCTCTGGTTTCGCTGACGTGGCATCCAAGTCAGCAAAATAAAAAATAAAAAATATATATGAGACCCATATAAGTGATAAGAAAAGAGTGGGATCCACGCATCTCTTTTTCTTCTCTTTTCTTCTCTTTCATCTCTTCTCTTCTTCAGAGTTCAAAGAGGGAAGCCGGCGGGCAGTCGGCGGGACTGGGAGGCCAGTGGCAGGCGAGCACGCCAGCGGTCAGTGGGTGGCGGGCGGAGCGGCGGTGGGCTGCGGGCAGAGCGAACAGCTGGTGGAGCAGCGGCAAGCGAGCGCAGCGGCGGGCCTAGTAGCGGGGGCGAGCATGGCGGCAGACCACATCTCCAAGAATCGCCACAAGCCGCGGCTGTCTGCTGTAGGTGCGGCGTGGTGCACGGCCACCCCAACCGCAACGTCCCCACCACCGGAGCTTCCACCGATGACCGAAGAACTCTGTCACTTGCACCGCCATGACGGGCGTGGGGAGCTATCACAGCGGATGTCCGGGACGAGCTTCTGGAGCACGTCCTCATCGTGGTCCTCCCCTTCATCAACGAGCCTCCTGAAGTCGAGGTCCGTCTCAGCCTCTATGAAGGCTCGAGGCGGGACGCGAGCTAGGCAAAGTGGAAGACAGTGGATGGACAGGGAGCTCCCCCGTTCTCGGCCGCCACCACCGCTGTGCCCCGCAGGTGGTCGACGATGCTAGGAATGGCATCACCAGCGAGAGAAGGGGAATTGGCAAAGGAGGAGATGGTTTCTTGGTCGCCGTCTACCTCCGGCGCACGCAGGCTGGGTGAGCTCGGACGGGCTCAACAATTGCCTCCCCCTCCCTCCCGAACTTGCTGGCCTCCTCTCCCTCCCTCTCATGCCTTCGCCTCCCCCACAGGCTGCCTCTTTGCCGCGTTGTGGTTGGGTTGGGAATGGCCCCAGAAGAAGTATGGCCACGAACGCTTCGGCGATGGCTGTCCTCCTCCCCAATTTCCCCGAAAGCTGATGCTCCATTGCAAGTCGCCAGTGGCCGCGGCGCTCTACACCGAGGGAGCGCCAGAGGCTGTGCCAACGCCGGCTTGGGAAGAAAAGAGGAGAGGGCTTCGACATGTGGGCCCCACGCACTTTCTTTTTTTCTGACTATGATGCCACATCAGCGAAATCAAGGATCCATACTGCCATGGGATCGAAATTGTACGGTTTTGTATAGTTTAGGGTGGAGATTTCTAATATTGGAGATAAGGGACGTCAACAAAACTCGACGTAAAGTTAAGGGACCGCAGATGAACTTATTCCAAGAAAAAGGCCCCGTGCGAATTACGTACTCAATCTATCTCATTTTAAGCGCAGCCATGAGTTTCTGTTTCCAACTTTAATCGTCCGTTTTATTTAATTTTTTTTTAAAAAATAAAAACATAAGCCACGCATAAAGTATTATTTATGTTTTATCATCTAATAACAATAAAAATATTAATCATAAAAGAATTTCAAATAACACAAACGACCAAAATTGGATAAAAAAATGAGACGGATGGAGGACATTCCAACTACGAATTGGTACTTCGTACTTAGTTGTTTTTTATAGAAAGGACGGGGTATAAAACGGAAAAAAATTGCTATATCACTAACAAAAAAGTTACTACTCGCTTCGTTTTTTAATAGACGACGCCGTTGATTTTCTAAACACATGTTTGATCATTCGTCTTATTTAAAACAACTAAAAAAAGAAAATATAATTACATAAATTGTCTAAATATGTGATAAAAAGTCAACGGTGTCTATTAAAAAACGGAAGTAGTACATAAATTGCATAACTTGCCTCTAGAAAAATCAAGAGACCAGATTTGACAGCAGAATGATTCACACAACACTTTATTCTGTGAATATATCCATACCTAAAAAGTGCTTCCGAGATATATTGACGATCTAGATTGTACAGAGCTAGGTTTTTCTCAATTTATAGTCTAAGAGGGGAAGAAAAATGGCAATCTAAAGATGAAATTATCTACGTTGCAGGCTATCAGAGTGAAGTGCAGAATATAACAGCAACAGTAAAAACGAAACCGGCTAGACATTGTGTTACAGAGGGTTCTTATAAATACACCTTATTTTTAGTATCAAACAAGATCTTCAAGAATTAGTGGTTGCTCAGAAGCCAACAAATAGGCTCCGAGAGCATCCCAGTAGCAATCACCTAGCTAGTGTGTTCTACTATATTGGTTATCAACGACCTTTGCCGATGATTTATTTTGTTCTCCAAAGCTATGCCAGCACGATCAGGACGTTAGCTGCTGCTGGGGCGACTGTCGCTGCTTGGAATGGCAAGCAGCGTCTGGGGAAGGTTACTGACCTTTGTTGCCTCATCTGCACGCTTTGCCGGCTTCTGTATTTCAATACCATGATGATGAAGTTCAGCAGTAGCCTTCGGTGGGTTAACTTGCCTATCTTCAGAGTCTATTTTTCGTTTCTTCATGCTGGTAGAACTCCTGTTGCCATCCGATCCTGCACCGACGCTCATTTCATTAACTTTGTCGACACTTCTGCTACTCTGACTATTTCCATTGTTAACCACAGGATACATGGTATGGGTGCTTGTCATATTTTGCAGGGACTGTGCAGATTGTGGGGCGGCAGGGTCGCTGTCACGCAACTTGGCAGCAGCAGCCAGCCTTCTCCTCTTCATCCTCTGGTCATTGCGGACCTGAATGGCATGATTGGTTTGAATGAGGTACTATAAAATAGGATAATTTGGAAATTTACATTACTGAATTGTACACTTGTTTTCCTTCACTCCATATGATTATGACGGTTAAAAATAAAGACATGGTTAAGCTAAAATGGCATTCACGCCTTAAGAGAAGATCTTTCACCTTCCTCTGCCTATATAATAAATTCCTTCGCTCCTTAGATCTAGAAATGGCATCTCGAATTCCAACTTTATCCATGTCGCCATGTGGCCATAAGTTAGCAAGCTGGTGCAGAAACAAAGATATTGTAATTTGTATGAGCGTTATGGACAAGTATAATCACATTCGCTAGGAAAACTGGAGAAGTTGTACAAAAAATGCACTTTGAAACAGAACATCACCAAAATACCCAAAAAAAATTTTAGAGGAAAGGCTTTCACCCAGCTTTTACTGAAAGCACAGTACGGTACACAAAGAGAACGATCACAACCAAAATACCAAATTCATATGCTCGGGTGATAAAATTTAAAGTTTCTGAAAGAAAACAAATCCATTATAGAAATTAACAGGGTATACATTTACTTTGATAATTATGAATAGCTAAATAAATATTTAAGGAACTTAAGGCTGTTTAGCAAACTTGGATAGTTGGATATATAAACAAGCTAAGGGATCATACAAACTCAAATTATGTTGCTTTGCTTACAGGCACTTTAAACTAAGTAACAAAGTGCTATCCTTGACACAATATACCAGTGCAATTCGTTTGCTGGTCAAAAATTAGCCCCTTATCCCAACATACATAAGCAAGTCGGCATTACAAATTTACAAATATAAAAGTGAGTTAAGGAAAATAAAGTTCATGATCAACAGTCTGTCTAAGGAGTGTGACTGCGTAGTGAATCAGAAAGGGAAGGCTGGAATTTTCTAATCCATTGATTCAAGTTGAAACACTCAATCAGACTAAAGGCACATATAAATGTAGAGGAGTTTTTTAGCAATCACAGAAATAAAAAGGTGTGGTAAAAGAGGCAGGATGGTACCTCTAGATACAACTTACGACTCTGAGGGCCCTTATCTTCATCCATACCCTGAAAAGCATGCATTACTCATGCTAGTAAGCATAATCACAATTTGTAAAAATACATGGTTTTGAACTTCCAAGCGATACTACATATAAAATAAGTAAAAAAGCAAAACGATAAGACTTTATCCAAGACACTCCTGTTCTAAACCAACTCTAGCGGCCTCCTTATTGAAGGGGGAAATAAAAAAATATCCTTTCACCAACATACACTTAAAAATAGACAAAAGGTAAAATAAAATAGAGAAAATGTCTCTATTGCTGATGTCGTTCTTTCAGCACAGCAATTGGGCAATTGGCTATGCATTGCAATTATCATTGAAGTAAACATGATAATACGACTATACCTCAACATACAGATCATACAGGTCGCAGATCCTGTCCTCCAATACAGCATCCATGACAGATTTTCCTCTCAAGGCCATTCTGTCATCATGAGTAACAGGATCCTGAAAGCCATCTATAGATTCAACCTTATGTTCAGCACCCTGAAAGCATACAGATATAAGAGTTCCTACTACCAAAGCTTTTCATAAGAATGAAGACTGGAACAAAACGCAATGTGTCTGAAAATAAAGCAGATTACACCACTTTACTGACAAGGTAATTATTTCACCTTAGGTTTGGTGGCTAGACGTGCTTTGACCATTTCATAGATTTCCATTTTCACTTGTTGCAATTTCCCAGCCTTCTCTTGTTTAGCACATAAACCTGATTGCACCATTTCTTTCATGTTTCTCTGTGCCAAAAAACATTTGGTAAGTAAAATCTTTAAAACTCACCAAGTCACCATACAACACAAGGAGATTCTTTTTGCCGGTGCCTCTTGGTATGTCTTTTGAATATATGTTCATTTGACAGGATCACTATGCAACATATATTTATTCTACCACGCTTACTAAAGAGTAACAAAGCCCATGCCTGTCAACACAAACAAAGGCAAGAACAAATCCTTAGATGCAACACCCCCCCCCCTCCAAAAAAAAAAAAAAAAAAGATTTCAGCATGCCAACAGGAATCTAGAATCCACTTAGTTGTAGAATATAAGAATAGTTCAAGAAACCACATAAAAAGAGTGGAATATTTGTACTGGTGCCCAAGGCCTACGAAAACGATGCATAAAGAACTGGACAAAAAGAGTGTCTATCTCTTGTTACCTAACTAGCACTCGTTTAAATATCTCAATGAATCTACAGGCTACCTTTATCAATGGATGATTAGATCACAACATCCTATGATTTTTTTTTCAATGTTCAAGAAATAAAGATCATTTCCAGACAGAGATAATAGACGACCCAGAATTGGAAAAGCAACAAAAGATACTATCCTTTTAAAAAAAATGAAATGCATGGAAGTAATTGGACAAGAAAATAATCATAATGCATGCATAAAAGGTATACATCAAACCAATAATTGTAATAAGCCCCTACCACACTGGACATGAATTTAATCACTACCTCTACTCACCTTCAGTGTCCTACGGTGCACAAGGTGGCCAACTATGCCCATGAGGCGATTGATCAGCTCATGTTCTGGTATTTTTCCTTGATTTGCCTGCATTTGTCAATATTCTGCTGTCATATGTTGCCTAAGAAGTTCAAGTTGCCACTTGCCAGTACTTGTATTAAAAAGTTAGAACAAAACATTTGCATTGGAATACAGAAAACAAAAGGTTGTACTTCTTCAAGCTTCTCTATTCACATAATCTACTGCAGCAGCATAGGAAGTTAATGCATGAATGCATCTCTGTAATCCCTCCTAATAAACATAGCGATTACCATGACTCGACACATGCATTCTATATCAAGTTTCAAATCTAACAAATATTGAACGGACACAGTTACACTCTAGCCTTAGAAACATTGCTAAGTGGGCCGTAAGTAAACAAAGGCACTTCACTACAAGGTAAAATAGGGTGTGCTACAACATACCGATAACCTTGCGACCTTAGCAAGTTTTTGTTTTACTTCTTGTGGCAATCTTCTTTTAACTGCTACCTGGCAATTTGCCTCAGCCTCATGTACATCAAGAATCTGTGGTTTGTCTGTGAGGATGATTCCACGCAACAAAAGCCAAAGTTAATTCCAAAAGGGGCTTAGAAATATATCCACCATGATATATAAGGTTTAATAATAAGATACACACATTCAGTGACAATGTTTTGGAGGTCACGGATAGCTCGCTCAAGTCTGGTACCCTTGGTCTTGGTACCTGAACCTTCTGTATGGATTTTTGTGGCCAAGTGCTGAAAATGCAAATATAGAATATTGAGCAATTGTCCCATAAATTAGGGCATAATTGTCTCGACAGAATTATAGCAGTTGACAGACAACACATTTCATGACACTTACTAAACATGCTGCATATGCGTGTGGCAGTTTTTCTCTGTTTACTTCCATGTCTTATGTTGTAATGCTTTTGTGCTGAATAAATTAGTGCTATGTACTTTGGGGATGAAAAGATAACTATGGTTTGCACCATGCTCACAAGTCACAATACCAGTTTCCTTGATTCTTACCATTGTTTCTGTTGAATAGATGTTACTGGAAGCATGCAAACCAGAAAATTGACCAGCATTATATTTCTCTTTGTGGTGCATGTTCTTTGACAAATCTTGGTTCGCCCCATTAGAAGTTATTTTCTGTTGGAGGCCAAGATGTCCTGGAGCATCCTTGTCTCGGTATGCTGAATAAGGGTACTCAAATGTTCCATTAGCTCCAGATTTGTGACCATTACTAGTACTCTTCCCCGTTTGGAGAGTGCTTCTTTTAGAGTCTCTTAAAGGCGTGCCCATGTATGAGGAAGAGCCTGGAGAAAATTCCTTGTTATTCTCAATATAAGAACTTGATGAGTCTTTTCGTCTTCGTTTCTTTGGTTCAACAGTCTGTACTGAATCAAAGTCACTGCAAAAGTGGGTGGAAGCATGTCAAGATTTATGTCATCCTATAACAGCAGATATGTAATGCATGTTGGCACTGATGCAAAGATTACTGTTATTATGTTATAACATCCCACATGATATCATTCTGAATAGCTAGTCATGACACCGCACAATGCCTTCTAGAATCATTTGGTGGGATTATTTTATGCATAACTTGCCCAACACCATAGCTGCAAATTAAAGAGTTTTTAGGAAAATTACATTTGTTCCAATTTTCCTTTGTTCACAAAATAACCATTGTGCTTGGTTGCAAAATTGTCAACTTCAAAATATTCATCCTGTGGATAAAAAACAACAGAGTGATCAGAACACTGGCTATCATTCTCAGCATGTCAAATGGTAATGATACAGAAAAAGAATCATTGAGATGTTCTAAACAAGGCTAGATATATGCAGCAAGAAGCATGTAAGCTCACATTTGGTTTGCATATAAATTAGTGTCGGTAGTTAAGTTCTTCCAGCCATATAGATCATTCTGGTTTTGCACAAAGTAGCAGTTTTTCTTGTTGCAACTTGAGTGAAGTACCATATTGAATTCAAGATAATAAACCCTCATTCTTCCTAACACTAGAAAAATAGCTCAATGAAAAAAGAAAGATTATAAGAGCATGCCATTCTCAGCTGTTCTTCAAATTTGGCATATGGAATGGTAGCCAAGAAGTCAAGGCTGTTATTTATGATACATATAACAGGATAGTAGCACATATGCAGAATGCATGGCAAAACAAATAGTAACAAGCTTAACTCAAAGCACTACAATGTCAGTATTAACACTGTTTAGGTCAGATGAGCCAATGAAAAAGAACATTTTATTAACAATACATTAGAGCATTATTATATCAATTAAATTGAAAAGCTAACCAATTCATCATCATCAATAAACGAATCTTCTGTGTCATACTGATCATCATCAGGCGCATCATCCAAGTCTTCCTCATCACTACTATTTTTGCCCTGGCATAGTAAAAGGATGTAGACAGAGGTAAGCACTTTTCGTGTGCATAATGGAAAGTAAAAATGAATTTCCTCTCTGATAGTAACACCATATGTTTCTTACCATGTAAAGGCGCTCAATTTTCTCAATAACTGAATTGAACCGATTTGATTGTGCGCAGTCATTTTCTGTAGGATGTGTCTGATTCAAAAGATGGAATGGCCATTATTTCAAATACAGTACATTATTTCAATTTCAATAAAAAAAACTAGTTGATCTGTGCAATCATATGTGAAGACAACCACAAGTTAGGCTGATTTAATTCAACAAATGGGTAAGGGTAATGACCACCTGCAAATGAGTAAGCACAACCACCACCTATCAGAATGTCTGATACAAGTTCCAACAAAATATAGGAATTATTGCCTACAAATGACACATCTTGCTTGTATAGTATTCCAGTTTACATTAATCATCTTACCAGACAATTTCGAGGAATTAATATATCATTGTTGCATCATTGCAAGACAATGCACATACTTCTAGTGTATGCGTAAACCCCTTCCATAATTCTGGTTTGTCATCAAAACGGACCTGCTATATTGATTCTACCAACAGAATAAAAGCTTAACAAAGTTTGCATGGCATTTGTAGTTCTTACATATGGTCACATAAGTAGCAAGTCTTGAGATCTTATCGTTTTTGAGAAACAAGTCTTCATAACTTGACCTTCTTCCCCCACTGATAGATTATTTCCCATTGATCAGTAATCAATACAGCAGCAGTAGCCAACAAGGCTCATAACTGTGGGATTGAGGGTTCAATTCCCACTATTAAAGTGTCCAATGTACCAGACTACCAGTTTAAGATGTTAGAAGAAATGCGGATGCAAAATCGGTGCAGCCTAGTTACCTAGTGGGAAATCCCAACATCAAGGTAAAGCTGGTGACCGCAGACATGGTGAGGGGCAATCTGGCATTGAGAAATGATATATTTTGATGCTATAGAAAAGAAGCAGAGGAGCATATTCTTTTCACCCTCCAATTTGCAAAGGTGCTCGCGGCGGCAACAGCTAATGGATGCTTTCCTTTAAGTTAAATCTCAATAACTTTTGCTGTCACTTCTCGGTTTCTCTGTTGCGAACTTATGCTCGGCTCTGCATTTGGCCTCACCATGATAGATAATTGAAAATCGTATTTAGCTAATTGAAGAATCATAATCAGACCTCCCAACTCCCACACAAAATCCCCCGCGGTTTTCAGGCTTGATCAGGTGAAAAATTGCACGCAGAATAGGCACGGAAGACAGAAATCGGCAAAAAAACATGTAACGAGAGCACGAAACCCTACCGCACCAGATGGTCCAGGGAGGGGGGCGACCGCCGGCTGTGCCGCCGCCGCCGGCGGCGGGGGCGGCAAGGCAGCTCCGAGGTCAGCCTCCTTGAGCATCTTCCTCCACGACACAATGGTGGTCTCCCCGGGCCGTAGCTCCACGGAGAACACCCGCCTCCCTCCCCCGCTCGCCCCCGCCCCCGCACCCGCCGCCACTGCAGGCGGCGGCCGCGGCGGCGCCCTAGCCTCGCCCTCCGCCGCCACCGCATCTCCCGGCGGCTTCGGCGCCGCGACCGCGGCGTGGGCCGCGGGGGCGCGCGGGGGGACCACGGGCTCGCCCATGGCAGCAGTGGCTGCAGGATCGATCGGCGGATCGCGACCGCGACGCGTCCAATTGAACGGGGGGGAATTCCGTCGCGCCTCGGGCGGCGGCGGCGGCGGCTCAGGCGGTGGTGGTTGGTCGGGGGGTGGGGGGAGGAGGCGAGGCGAGGCGTGGGCGCGTGGCGTGGCGTGGCGCGCGGGACACGGGTGGGGATAGTAGTGGGTAGTGGCAAGGAAGGCAGGTGAGGTAGGAGGAGGACGACGAGGCGACGGGTGAGGTGAGGGGATACGCCGCTTCGGGATACGCGCCGTGACGGCCGTGGATTTTTTTTTCTTTTTCCTTTCTGTTACTCCAGCTCGGATCTCGCCGTCGCCGCCGTTTGTTTCCTCTTCTTGGTGGATACGATATGCTTTCCCAAATCTAGCCCACACGACAGCCCAGTGTGACACCATAATTTAGTGTTGGAAAAAGTACACCCAAGGTCTCTCAACTTGTCATCGAGATACAGAATCGTCCTCAAACCGTAAAACCATATATCCCGCATCCCTTAACTAATCAAAACCGGTCATAAAATATCCCTCGGCGGTTTTGACCCCGGTTTTAGCCTACATGGCGACTGAGTCAGCATGGGACCCACGTGGACCCCACATGTCAGCGTATCCACGTCATCCTCCTCTCTCTCCCTTCCTCATCTCTCTCTTACTCTTCTCTCTAGGGCTCTCTGGGCAGGGAAGCAAGGCGGCGGCTGCGGCCAGCGGAACGGAGCAAGACGTCGAGTGCGGGGCGGCCGGCGAAGCGGAGCAAAGGCGGTCGAGTGCGTGGCGACGGCGGCCTCACAGTGCCTATCGATCTCGACTTCTGCGGTGGCCATGCACACGTCATGGACATGGAGCGCTAGCTGTAATCTTGGAAGGCTTTAGACGAGTAACAATACCGCTGCGACACTTGCCTGCCTTGGTGGCGGCGATGGCCACCTTGCGCCGCGGCGCTGACGACCTCGTGCTACCTCTCCGGTCAAGTATTGGCCGGCTCGACGCCGACGCCGACGCGTTCGTCACCGTCGTCGTCGTGCTGGACCCGCCGCTGACGCTGTCATCTCCACACAATGAGTTGTCGTCGCTGCCGGAGTCAGAGCTCCTGTCCCTACACGCGTTGCTCTTGTCCCTCTCCATCACCCTGTACGCGTACATCTCGAATGGCACGTCGGCGACACCGTTCCCCTCCCACTCTGGGAACCTCCCCAGCAGCTGCGCATCCATGTCGAGGTAGTCCACCGCCGGTCTAGCCGAGTCCGGCTGCTCCGGGTTCATTACCAGGAAGCGCTTCAAGTAGTGAAGCACGCGGCAGATAGTGTGGAACGCCGACCGCTGCGCCGTGCCACCACCGCCTGGTCAGGCTGGTCAGGTACTTGGGCGACTGGAATGGGAACAGCGGCCGCTCGCCGGCGCGGATGTTCTTACTCGTCAGGACCACCCGCCACACGGCCGCGGCGGTCCTAGAGCAGGAGACCCACATCATCATCGTGCGCGCGGCCGCGGAGCCCCTGGTAGTCGTCGTTCGCGCGGCATTGAGACAGTGACGATGAGCAGCTCGACATGCAGGGCGCAGACGGCGGCGGCGAGCTCGACCGGTGGGAGAGATGTGCGGCGGGTAGGGGCTTGATGGCTGCGGGCGGTGTCGTCCTGGCCTCCGGTCGCATCCGGCCACATCCAGCCGCCGCGCCATAAGCCAGGCCGCGCCTGCACGAACCTCCACGCAAGCTGCCATGGAAAGCGGCGGCATCGGGGGAGAGAAACAAGCAAAAAATAAAAGAAAAAAAAGGGGAACAGGGAGAGACAGCGTCGATGGCGCTGCAGCCCGCCGGCCATCGCAGAGCAGCACCGCCGCCGCCGCCTATCCCTCGCCGGCCCACCACAGGGTCATGCCGCCGCCGCAAGGCTGCGCCCGTCATTGTCGCAGGGAGAGAAGAGAGAGAAGGAACGAAGAGAAGAAGGAAAAGAGATGGGTGATGACGTGGACATACTGACATGTGGGGTCTACGTGGGTCCCACGCTGAGTCAGCTGCTAAGTCGATCAAAATCGGGTCAAAACCGCCAAGGGATCTAGTTTGCACTGGTTTTGTAAGTTGGGAATACATTGTATCCGGTTTTGTGGTTCAAGGACGATTTTGTATCTCGATGATAAGTTGAGGGACCTTCGGTGTACTTTTTCCTTTAGTGTTCCTTCCATGCCACCTAGACTAAGAACACTATTAGCCACCCACAAGTTTCACAGTGCAACTCCACAAGACCACAATCTATCTACCCTATAATTCACCAACTGATGTTTACATCCTTCGTGCTTCATTCATCAAATCCAACGGACAAAAATCATCCACCGCTTCAGATCCGACGAACCATACCTCCCTCAGCTCCCACCGCGCACCATCATCGCCGCACCCTCGCTCTCCCCGCGTCGCGCCGCCCCCCAATCCCAAACCCCGCAGCAGCTCCACCTGCGCCGCCGTCGGATCGACGGGAAAGAACCGCGGACCGCCGCGCTTGCACCAGCATCCAGATCAGCGCCGCCTCGCCGATCTCCTCTGCGCCGCCGCCCACGATTTGCTGCCGGCGCTCACAAATTGTCGTCGTCACGAAATCGCAACCCTAATCTCCCCACACCGCGCCGCCGCCCCTCGCCTCTCCACCGCACCGGTCTCCTCTGCGAGCGCCGTCGCTCCCTGCCTCTCCACCGCGCCGTCGTCCTCGCCGCCACCCTACGGCTCTCCACCACACTGCCATCCACTACGCCACCCTCCGCTCGTCGTGCCGCCCACATCGACGGGAGACTGCCCGTTAAGGGCGAGCCCGTCCTCCGTCGTCTTCCCGTCGCACGCGGAGGCAGCGATATTCTCCTTCGCCCACGATTTTCTTCGTCTTCTTCGTCTCTCTCCCCTTCTCCCACGGCTTGCTGCTGCTGCCCATATCAGCCGGACCCCATCTCCGGCGGCATCCCTCCCCAGGCGGCAGGCGACGGTGTGTGCTGATGCCCCCACGTCGGCGGTGTCCTGGCGGTCGTCTCCCGTGGCGGCGGCGTCCTGTCCTGTCAAGCGGCGTGCTGACAACAGAAACACTTATAGGATTTGGCGCTGAAAATTTTTTATGCCCTTTGAACAACAAAGCATGTTCATTATATTGACATCAACAAAAATTTCTGCTATCAGATGTGCTGCAAAAATCGAGATGTTGAGGTTATATAATTTAGTGCTGAAAAGTTAATGTTCTGTTTCAGGTGCCTGCAATGATTTTATCTAGACATATGCTGGTGCTGAGTCCATTGCTTGCCTTGATGTCGGATCAACTGAGGAAGCTCCCTGCATTTATGCAAGATGGCCTTTTTGCGAGCAGTTAGGTAAGGGCAGAATGTTCACAGTTGCTGCTTGTGCTATTAATTCTAATTTTGATCATTATGTTACACTAATGACTATGGGAGCAGCCGCATTCTGCATCGCACCGTTGGGTCGGATGCTTTCTGCACGCAGCATAGGGGCCCATATGCTTCCAGACAACTTGCTATCACCTAATCCCATTATTCTAGACAACTGCATTATAATTTGACTTTGTGTTGTTTGACAAATTTGTCAGATTTAGGCATGAGTTATGAACTCCTTGTATGGTGCTAAAAAATTTTGGGCATATATATGACGTGCAAAGAGTAGTTTAGACCCAATGAAACTTTGTAGAGTATTATTGTTTATGCCTGCAGTTGCTTCAAAGAGAACAAATTCAATCTATCTCTGTTGATTGTGTTTCTTTTCAAGCCACCTTATAATTTTTAGCACCTAATGAAGCCAACTCTTCTATTGGGTATTTCAAGGAAGATATGTGGATCTAGCTTTCAAAATAGAAATTGTTTCTGGTGGCTGTGCCTGTGTATCCTTAGTTGCTGCTTAGGATAAATAAGTCTGCATGGCTCATATCATCATCTGGAATATTTTTGTTTCATATCATCTGAATTTCAATTAATAAAGTCTGCATCCGGTTCTATTTCACTATTGGTGGTTTCTAACAGTCAATGATACTTGAAATCGAGTTTGTAGTCTGCATCTGGTTCTACATTCTTTGGTGGCCTCAAATTGTTATCACATATGCAGATTCACTATTGGTGGCCTCAAAGTGTTATCACATATGCAGATTCACTATTGAGTCTGTGATAATTAATTATTTGTTATGACATTTCTGTTATATCTTATATACTCCCTTCTTTGTAATTAACAGTAATGGAATTATTGTTAGTTCAATTTGAACCAACCAACATATCATATAATAAAAACAAATGGAGCATGAAAATAGCATTTTTCGAGGTTGTGACTAAATCCCTTGAACAAAGAACTTTAAAATAGAAAGGGAAACAAGAACTAATTCAGCTTATGTGACTGCTTGTTGCAGGCCGTTGATGTTTTGTGAGTAAGAGCTGGAGATAAAATTTGAACTTGTCAGTGCTGTTTTTTCCGTTTTGCTATTTGCCCAGCCAGTGCCCAATGCTGTTAATTGTACTGTTCAATGCTGATTTGTTAAAAACCATAAATTTAACTAACACAATTTTTTTGGAGACAATGATTTTTTTCTAAAGTAGGGGAATGACACCCTAGAGTGAGTTTGTTTTTCTATGTATGACATCACTCACCAGAGTCATCTTATATGATTATGAGTTAATCACGATATCTTTTTTATAGATCAGGAGAACATATTCTTATCATCTCTATGGTTAATCTGTATAGTTATAGATAATAGAGGGTTTGTCCATATTCCACATATAGGAAGTTATTTTTATTTTCATTTTACTTCTCAGTATTAGCTGAAATGTTAATTTATTTGGCTGCTTCAAAGTGAGTCTGACTGGTGTGTACAAATTTACATAAAACTGAATATGAAGGAGCACAAGTGGACTAGGACTGAGCATGCTAATTCAAACAGGCATCCAGTGTGAACTATGTGGGGCTGTGGGCAAATTCAGTAAATAACCTGCTCGTGGCAAATTGAGGACTAAAATTTTGATTTTGAGGTATACGATCTGATCTCTTCGCACCTTCAATTTTGTCTTCTTAGGTGTGTCATGTAAGTACCAGATTAATACGTGATAGATTGAGGTATAGTCATTGACAGTTTGCCACTGAAATGGAGTCTTTTGGGTGATGGCTTGCATTTCAAAATGCACTGGTATAATATGAAAATTGCACAGAACAAGCATTGACATTTTTCATGTACAAACAAGTTTAAAAATGTTATGCAGCTATGTTGTTTCCAAGTTTAGCATATGTATCTAAGAAAGCTATGTTATTACTTATTGTAAATTGTGGAGATAACATGTAATGTTTTGATTTATGCAGCACCATCGGTGCCTTTTTGGTGTGGGCTGTCAAGACCATCGACAGCTTCCTCCCTTGTCCCCACCGGCCATCCGCTCCGCAAGGTGATAGACGTTTTCCTTGTATCGTGACGTTCATGAATAATGTAGTCATGCCATATGAAGCAATTGTATACTTGTATGTGACCTTTTTGGCGGTTGATTGAAAAGTAAATGATTGGATCTGGGTGATTGAATAAAGTGCTTTTAGTATTCAGCTTGATTTCATGAAGCAGACTCATCATGAATTACTATGTGTTCTCCCAATTGCCAAATTCAGTTCTATTTCTCAGTAAAATTTAGATTTCCAAACATTTTCTCATTTTCTTTTCATGCCAGATCAAAGAAGTCATATGAGATATAGATTATAAACTTGAATTTAGCAGATGGTGATGGATGGTTTGGACATGTAAACGAGATAAACTACCTTACCACATCAAATACTCCGACATTAGATAATGCATACTATTATAAACGATATATAGATCAAACATTAGATGATTATATCCGGTTTGGACTTTTTTTATGTCTATGTGTTAATTGTGAAGTTGTACATTACCAATTAGATTTTTACGAAAGATAGAGGTCATGATATTTTACTCACATGGCTAAAGATTAACAATATAATAACTTGCTTTGTCATTCAGTTTTTAAATTTTAACTTGTCTCATTTAATGCTTGATTGGCAAAAAATATATATTCTTTTAATTATTTATTTTGCATTTCTAAATGCTACCGTAGCGTTAGCACGGGCCAATTACTAGTCTACCCTATAATTCACCAACTCACTCTTACACCTACGTACTCATTCATCAAATCCAACGACCGAGAATCATCGAATCCAATGGCTCAGCTCCTCCCACGTATCTCCCCGCAACCTCACACTAATCTCCCGCACGCATTTCCCTCTCCCCCTCCACTCTCGCACAACCTCCTCTCTCTCTCTCTCTCCCCACGCCAACCGCAGCGCCGCCGCCGATGCCGCCGTCGATTCCGACGCGCCGCAATCGCGCCGACGCCGCCCACGTCCCGCCATCGAGCCGCCGTCGACTCCCGCCTTCAGATCGATGCCATTGATGCCCCATCACGCCTTCACATCGACGCCACCGGCGATTCCCGTCTCTCCACCTTGACCCTCACGCCAATCGTCACCGAATCCCGCCTCCATATCGATGTCGCCGACGCCCCAACCAGCACGTCGATTCCCGCCTCCAGATGACACCACCAGCGCCCCTCACGACGATCGTCGTCGATTCCCGCCTCCAGATTGACACCGCCAAAGCCCCCACACAATGCAGATCGTTGTCACGCGCTGTTGATCCCCGGCCCCTCGCGCCGCCACCGGGACTGCTCGCCCACGCGCCCCCTTCTATACCGCGACGCCGCCGCCGACTCCCTCGTGCCATCTGCTCTCCTTTGCGCCTCCACCTTAGCCCTCTCCACCGCGATGCGAACAAGGTAATCATCGCTCGATCCTGTTCCTTCGTTATTACAGTGTCATGGCTATTATGTGTGTACGTGCATAAACCTGTGAGAAAATAAATTATTATGCGAATGTGTGGCAAAGAAAGTGATTATCTTCATATGTTTGTACATGTCAAAAAATAAACTGAGAGGATATTGATTCTTATGTTTGTTGAGCTTGCAGTTTAGTTGAGACCTTGCGACCATAAGAAACTGATGTTTGATGACCAAGTCGTGCTTCACTGTCCAGTTCTGCTCTATCATTTAGGATTTTCATTGCCCAGCCAAATGAAAATGCCATTAGTCTACACATGTTTCCTGTTTTCTTCAAACTTATATTGATGATAGAGGAGACTATGTGAATGCTGTTGGGATTATACAGAACTTTGGGTGGCTGTTGGATAGGACAGGATAAGGTTCATTTGGTTTATGTTTAGCGATAGGACGTACCGGTTCATTTGGGTGCCTGTTGAATGCCTCATTGGGTCAAAAAAATTTCCTTTATTGTGTTCATGGATTTAAAATTCAAATGCCAGTAGCAATATTTATTATGTTTTTTTCGTGAACCTTTCCTAGACAGACGCATTTCTTTCACTGGGAAATTTGCAGGGTATATTTTCATCCCACAAGGTCATGCATGGTCAATTTGTGTTCATTTGTAGGGTCATGTATGGTGGATGCAAGTATGGATTCAGATCATGGTGGATGTATACATCAATTTTAGGTTTTCGTACATGAACCAAAGGTAACAACAGTTAGTTATATACTTTTCAGGAAATAATTTTGAACATGAGCAGATAGACGTAAAATTATATACCCTAAGAGCATATGATGACAATGTAGCTAACTACTAAATTTGGACCATGCTGAATATTATAAGATGGAATATCTTGGTAGTTAGTAGTATTATGCTGAATATTTAGTGGCTTTGATTAATCTCTCTGTCTTCTTGCATGGAGTAGCACAATTATATAAGAGCAGTCCCAACCCATAACACTAGACATTGTTTCCATAAACTCCACATCATGCAGAAACTAGTACTAGACACTACTCTTCCAATGCAAATACCACTATTCCATACTTCAATTTAATGCTACTTATCTCACATGATGTCTTGAATGTTGTGTAGAAACCATGTCTCATACAAGACATGGTTTCCTTCTCTTTCCTCATTTATTCACTTGCCACATCATTTTTTGTCCTAGGTGGCAACTTATTTAATGCTATGGACACCATCCTAGTCATTGGGTTGAGAATGCCCTAACCAGCTGGGTACTTGGTACCTTGTTGCCACCCTAAAAAAATGATGGCACCATAGATAAATTTGCTTGTGTTAAAATGTATTGCCATCATAGCGTTGTAACTTATACCTTGCCTTCATGGAAGATAGTAGTTTATTTTAAATGGAAGAGAGTAAGATGCTTTGTACAAATTGATCTTCAGATGCATAGGTTTATAAAATGCTATGATCTAGATGAATAGGTTTCCTAACTATTGTTGTTCATTTAAAATAGAACCAAATTTGCTGAAACTATTCATCATTGAAAAAGGTCAAACAGAAGAATTCTACTGTCACACTGCACTTTCATAAGTTTCTATTGATACTGGATTTTATTCTCTTTATGTTCCTTCAGCATTTTATCTTATATATCAGAATTAAATAGTTTACAAGAATATGAGTGAGAATTATATTATTATTGATCCGTTTTTGCTGTTTGCCACCGTACCACCTATGCATGCTTGCCTATTCTCTTAATGCAATGGGCTCGATTGCCATTCATCCAAATTAGAAATTAAATGGTGCATTTTTACTTTGGGGTTTGATCATATATTTCCTGTACTAAGAGATGGTGCTGGCTCTATTTGGCCCTTGATCTCTTGGTTTGTTTAATTTTCTTTTTATTCCTTCCTTGCATCTGAACAAAGATGACTCTGAGCTGATCTCTCAGTTTGTTTAAAATGCCTTTAGATTTTTTTTTGTCATGCAAAATTTTTTAGATCCATTTTCTTAACTTATCTCAATATATATGGCCCCTGTTACACTCATATGTTGTCAGAAGGGGTAATGAAATTGGTGTACTAATTCAATCCCGCTTTTTAAAATGGTTGAAATATGAACCAATCCTGTGTAATCTTTGTTTCAAGAAAGGTGGTTAAATTTTCAAGAGTGATCTTTCTAACTTTGTGCATAGGATTATGCCATCAATCCAAATCCCTGATTTCTGAAATCCCTTTTAGATGGCAAGCCACATGACATGGAGTTTATACTTGACTCTCTTTTATATGGCAGGCTGAAATTTTTATGGGACGGGGCAACATCTAATTTTATGGAGACAAGCTCCATCGCCGCCCCATGGAGACACCATTCTCTGCCGCTGGACCACCGTCGCCCTGCCTCGATCGGTGGCACCGACACGTAGCTGTGTCCTCCATCAATGTGCTACTGCCCCCATTGCCTCAAGATCCACCGCTGCCCCTGTATGTCACACTCAAACCGTTCCTTCGACGTCAAAAAGTCCAATGAACATTTCCATTAGTGCAATTATATATTTGCAGTGTTCGTTTTTATTCAACAGGGTCATGCATGGTGGATGTATGTATGGTTTCATATTGTGGTTTTGGAAAAAAAATATTGAGTTTAGGGTTTTTAATGCAACCTTGTATCATGCATGACTGGGGATCGTTGGGTCTTAGGGAATGCACTACAAAATGAATTTTGGTAGAAAAATGGAACAAAACAAACATGCATATTGGAACTTCATGGAAGAGAATATGCGTGTGTGTGTGTGTGTGTGTTAGTTTATCTGGTATGATAAAATGGTAAATGGACCCGGCTAGCTTTGTCAAATCAGTTTATTAAAAACTGATATAAAAATTAGTGTCTTCTACATCTTAATGTGTCATATATGTAACGGTTGTACTTGAGATTCAGGGTTTTCTAATATGGGGTCAATAGGGATTGAGGTTCTGTGAGATGGACCTAACTGATAGCCTGAGCATAGGGTAGGAAGGGGCCACATTTTTTATTAATGATCTCTATATTTTAGGGTCGGCATTTAAGCTTGTAAAAAGCTGAATACTTGAGATAAAGCACCATAGTGGCAATCTGGTTTAATTCAAAAAACAAATCTATATCAGTCATTGACCAGTTTCATGTTGGATTCGGTGAACTGACTTACTCCCTCCGTCTCAAAAAAAGACAAACCCAGACAAACCCAGGGTTTGTCTTTTTTTGGGACGGAGGGAGTATGTGCTTAATTTTGAACATCAGCAGGTTTGGAACACATCTTTCCACACCGCTGGTCCCCTGTCCAAGCCGCTGCCTTGTCGCCGATCCCCCTTCTCCTGAACCACATCGTATCGTTCTTAATTTTCCTGAAATGTCGCATGCATTCTATGGTTTTTTCGGACTGCTTTCTGTGGTGCCTAGCTGTTGGTAGCGTGCAATATTGATGATTTACGCGTCCTGTGTATTCGTAGGGTATAATGAAATTTGATCTGAACATATGAAATTTGACAAATGCATTTCCATGATCCGAAAAGTTTATCTGCAGATTTAACAAAGTATTCATGTTCATTTTACCTTTTTCAACTCATTAACATGAACAAAATTGGAGCCATGTAAAAGCCTATATATTTGCTTTGCTACATATTCTTGCCTTAATAGAAACCGGGATTTTGCCAAATATTTTGGGAGTTAAATTACTAATGCCAAGTGATGAATATGTCTTTATGAGCGTGTGTCTCGTGGTAGGCGAACACATTGTCTTCAATATGGTGCTTCTACTAATATGCGTTCGATAGAGAAGTTCATATGGCTTCTTGAGGTGCTCTATAAGGAGGAAGGTGACCAGTGAGGAGCAGAAGTTGCAGAATGTTTCTAGGCGATGCATGTATTGAAAAAATAACACCTGTAGAACTTGCAGGTGATATTTGTATCTATATGTGGTATAGAAAGTTAGACACCATGAGTTATTGTTTGTGTTTTGAAATGTTAAAATATTGTAGAACTCTATTCATGGCCAACTTTGGGAATTTATTAACAGTATAATAATATTCATGAGAACAATACACATCTCTCTATCGTTATTTTATTCGTGAATCTTAAATATTACCTTTTGGTTTTTGCATTATCGATTATCACCGTTGTGTTAGCACGGGCATAGCGACATAGGTAGAAACGTCCTGGTTCAATTTTCTATTGTGTATAGGTTATTTTATTTTATTCTTTTCATTTGCACGACTCTTAAAGTTATCTAATGCTCACAAATTTAATAGTTTTCGGGGAGAAAAACTGTGCTGTGTTTTCTAGCAATTTCGTTAATAGAAAATGGCCTCTTAAAGAGGAGAAGAAAGATAAACCTGAGACAACTGAACTGAAACGGATGGTAGATAGGAAAAATATATGGTAGAAACTAGTGAAACCCTAAAAACTATCGTTGGATTGAGAATTGATAAATAGATATTTAAGATTCGTCCACATTTTTCTTAAACTTAAACAACCATTAATATAAAACGATAGAGTTCACGGGAATAAATCTACATTGCCAAACAGATAAACTGAAAGCATAAAACCATCCGTTTCTAAAGAATGGGGACTGCACTAAGGCCACAAACTTCCTAATGAAACCACACAACGGAGAAGGTGCAAATCGACAGGGAGGTGCGGCAATGCCGCGACGATTGCGACCTTGGGCCTCCTTTGGCGTGCACAACGCTTGACAAACCAGCAATCCCCTTCGGTTGCCTCCACGATGACGGCACAAAATAGAGGTATGCTACTGAGTCACAAATTTTGGTGTAAGCATCCCCATGCTCAGCAAGAGTTGTCCACGGAGTTCGTCGTTAAATCTAAGGAGAGTAAGCTCAACCCGAACAACAAACTCTGCATGGAACAAGCTGTTAGGAAACACATGGGAAGATGGAGCCCAAATCCAGGTTCCCATAACCACTGAAGAACTCGAATGGTGGCAAACGAACTGTTGTCTTCTTGGATCGACGTACGTGGTTGGGGAAGCGTGTGAATCTTGACTAATGGAACCTTGGCATTGGAAGCTCCCGTTCAGGCACTAGAGAAACCACCGCCACATCCATTGGATGTACCAAGCCATCATCGGGTTGTCATCGCGCATCACGAGCTGCGAGCTCCGGGCGAAAACAAATCCACGACGTCTAAGAAATCGTCGCTGCAACCAGTGAACGCACTAGGACCTATCGGCTTGACATCCGCGAGTAGCAAGCTCCGGGAAATAGTAGGGCGACATGGACATGTGCTGCCAGCGCTAGCCAACGAAGGCCTCGAGAAGCCGCCGCAGCAGCCAATAGGAGCTGGGTGGCGACCTCCCGGGCGAAGACGGTGCTGCAACCAACACTACCACAAGGAGCCATCTCCACCCGTCGATTCGTCCACTGATCTTCGGATCTCGCACCGCCACCACCACCAACCATCACCGCCGCCGTCCACACTGGCATCCGTGGAGACTCACCGGCAAAAGCACCAACTAGCCCTAACTACAGGAAGCACCTAACGACCTAATAACAGACCTAACCACACTACACTAGTAGGGGGAGGTGGCCGGACCCCTCCTCCAACCCTCGCCGGCGGTGAACCGTTGGAATCTGGGGGAAGGAGGGGATGGGAGACGAGGGAGAGAGAGAAGCTACTGTAGAGAGGGGAGGGAGAAGAATATTGTAGCCAAGATTCATCCACGTTACAATGAGTAAAAATTTTACTACATTTATTACTTATGAGTAATGGTGATGTGAACAAGGAGTAAAATTTTTACTCATGGTGATGTGGACGAATCTCATAGGCTCGTTTTTAGATCTAAACAATAGTTTTTAAGTTTTTGCTGTATAAGTGGTTTGCAGTATATATTTTCCTAGGTGGATACTTGGTAATGCACACCCGTGAGTTGGCTACTTTCTCCTCTCCTCAAACAGGTCGTCCGCTGGGTCACCAACCTTCGCTGCCACATCGTCTCTCCTCCTCCTCCTCTTTGCCTGCGGCCACCGCATCCGCTCTCTCCCACTGTAAACCTCTCCCACTGTAAACCCCCACCCATTTCCTGCCAGTCCCCCTCTCTCTCCTCTTCGAGAGATTAGGTTGTTCGACTGTGCTGCTGCTCATGCAGCAAAAGGGATCAAGAACAGGGGCAGGGGTCATGTGGTGGAGGTAATCAATTAATCAATTCAGGTAATGCGGGAGATCATCATCTATCTGGCTAACCTCCGCCGCGTGCATGGCCGAGGCCTACAAGCTGATACTAGTTCTTATTGTGGACTAGTTTTATTGTGCATTTAATTGGTTAACTACAACAGTGTGCCGATTTTTTCGAGAATTTAGAGTATTTACTATCAAATTCAGGTGCCTCAGCTTTTTTACCACTCAGTTCGCATGCCCTCTATAATATATATCATTAGGAGTGCTAATTTATCTATTTGATACCACTTTCTCTGTTTTTCATGTATTTCTCGTTTCTTAATTCCATTTGTATATTTTTTACTGGTTTGTGGACATTTCTACCCCTAGGCCCACCTGTCAGATCCAAAGTGAGAGACTCCTCTGGATCGATCGATCCCTCCAGGCATCGGCGCCGTCGACCGCGACCACCCTGCCGCCGAGCGCCATTACCTCACCACCAAGCGCCGCTGCAGATCGCCGCCGCCGCCAGGGTGCGCAAGCTCGCCGCCCCCGAGCACCGCCCCAACCGCCGAGAGCTGCCGCCGCCGCGGCTGACTCGACGCCCCACCGCCCCCACCGCCGAGCGCCACCACCCCCGCCGCCCCAGCTCGACGGCCCCACCGCCTACACCGCGGGGCGCTGCCGATGGTCTGCAAAGAGTAAGTAGCTTTCCGATTCCTTTTACAGGCAAGAACTGGAAGATGGAGGCGATGAGCAGGGCAGTCCCCAGTAGCAAAGCAGAAACAAGGAGATAAGATGGTGGCAAAGCTGCTGTTTCTCTTTTTCTTCAGTTTTTCAATCGCTCCCAAAATCAATTTGAAGATCATATGGTTGCAGCAGGAATTGGTTGAGGCCATTTTTGCTCATTTGCAACGCCTGATTCCGTAGCAGACATGTATATTGTAGCAAATTATTGTAAACTGTAGACGCCTGACCGGTAAATTGTTACGCCTGAGCGTAATAGACATGTATATGCTGTCGACCTGGGGGCTGGGGCGGCGAGCTTGCTCACCCTGGCGGCGGTGGCGATCTGCGGCGGCGCTTGGTGGTGGGGTAGTGACGCTGCGCAGCGGGGTGGTCGCGGTCGACGGCGCCGATGCCGGTCGGGGGCGCTTGCCTGGAGGGATCGATCGATCCAGAGAGAAATTTCTCTCTTTTGGATCTGACAGGTGGGCCCAGGGGTAGAAATGTCCACAAACCAGTAAAAAAATATACAAATAAAATTAAGAAATGAGAAATACATGAAAAACAGAGAAAACGGTACCAAATAGACAAATTAGCAGTTTAGCACTCCTAATGACATATTATAGAGGGCATACGAATTGAGTGGTAAAAAAGTTGAGGCACGCGAATTTGATGGTAAATACTCTAAATTCTCGATTTTTTTCTCTTCTTTTCTTTTTTCAACACCGTGGTACTACTCTTGATGCAGCTCTCAGTAGGTTGTATCCGTGCTTGTTGCTCTTCGGATTGATGTAGCTGTGGTTTTTTACACTTCTTGGATTTCCAGGGGAGTTGCCAGATGAAGGCCCAGGACATGGTGAGCAGATCATCATGCAGCAAGAACAAAGTGTTTGGTAGTCTACCTGTTGATAGTATCCCAGAAATAGATCCAAGTTACAGGCTTTTCTTGGAACATCTGAGGGAAGATGGGAACGGCTATGTACTTGATGCGCCGAGAGGGGACCATGGCTCGCCTGTTTTTCTAAGATATGCACAAGATCATGCATCCAATGGATATGCTAATGCCAAATCCGGCACAAATATCACAAAAAGTTCATTGCGTAGAAGCCATTGTAATCAAAACAGCGAGGGACCAGGTGTAACATCAGACAAGGCTGGCAGTGCAAATGCGGGGCATTGTTTTTCACTAGGTACATCATTTGCGATGGAGACGTCAGAAATCGATGAGTCATATGCTACATTTCTGAGACTTCTGAAGATCAAGAATGGTCTCATGGTTATTGAGCCAGAACCAGGCGTTACCATTGTATATGGGCAAGCAGAGGAGACACCGGTTGGATATGATGAATTGAGAATAGCCACTTCCACAAATGGAAGAGATTCTTTGATGACTGCATTTGAAAACATGGGTGAAGAGAATGCTATGAATACTGATGGAGATGGGCTTGGGAAGATCAATAATTCTGCATCTGAACGTGAAATGGATGGCCTTGCTTTAGAGAACATGGGTGGTCAGGATCTAGTCTGCATAGATGAGCATGGACTTCCACCTTGTACTGAACTTTCTGATTTGAATGTGAGTCATTTGTCTGCTTAAGTTCCCTTGGCAATATCTTTAATGATGTTTTATTTATTATGTACCTTGCTTTTTGGACCCAGGTATGTGGAGATGAACAAGGAGAACCTCTTGCTCTTAGTTGTGGCATTCCCTCTACATTTGATGAAAAACTTAATGATGTTTTAAGTAAGCCGTATGACCTAAATGAATATAAAGAGCTTTTGAGAAAAGCTACAGATCGGAAGCTTGTGAGTAGACAGAGACACTTGCGAAATGCATCCAAGCCCTATGCCACAAGGGCAGTTGGGTTGTCATTTCTTGATCACTACCCAGGTAATCACTAAATTCTGGTCAGTAATTTCGTAATCCTCATGTCTAACAGTCCAAGGGCTTGATTTTGTCCTAAATTTGAGCGGCGTTGACAAGCTTTGACACTCGTTGTACATTATATGATCTAGTAGCATCACATAATTGATCTGTGCTCCAGCCTGTTGTTGTATCCTACGGATTAACTTTCAAGGCCTTTGTCTTTCGCCAGTTGCAAAGGATCAGTGGAATTTATTTGTTAAGTCAATAGGCTAGACCTCTGACTAGTTCATTACTGCAACCCCTCAATAAAATGAGACATAGGCACATATCACAGGGAAAAGGAATTCTTATTTTTTTTATTAGTAGCTTACCATTGAGGGTTGTATTATATGATGTCAATTTTGAATATAAAATAAATTTACGGCATCCATGCATTTGTGAATAACATTTCCCTGGTAACAATTGCTGAAGTCTGATTTTTATGGCACGATGTATAATTGCATATTTGCAAGTTACTTGGTGCTTCACATAAGCCAGATTAGCAGATTCTGCTTAGTACTTGATTTCTTTTATCAACACTAATGTTTGGTCTCTCATACAGATCTAGCCATACAAATAGATTCTGCTGACTCTGATGAGAGAAAACTTTGCCTCCTGCGAAAATTCTTCTTCTGGTTGGAGGTGATCTCTAAACTACCCTATAAGTGGAATTGAGATTTAATGTTCTTCATTTGACTAATGGCTGAAACTATGTCAAAATATTAGGTGTCTGTCTCTGTGATTCCGTTTCGAAAAAAGAAGAAGATATAAATCACAGTAATTCCTTTTATGGTGCAATGACTAAAATGATTTCACTATAAAATACATTAAACAAGGAACAGTTGTCGCTAGCATTTTTCACCGCATTGACATAGAGGGAACTAGTCCGTCCGATCTTCCTTCTGTGCATGTTACTTCTTTGATTCAGATATTTCACAGGGTACTAATCTTTGAAAGATCTGGCCACTAATCAATGAATGCTCACAACATAACTCTAGGGAACAAGAATGATGTTCTTGATGTACTCCTTATTATGTTCTTCGTTTGGGAATTAAGGATAGCTATGCTGAAGGCATTAATAATAAGTTATTAAATTGTTCCTAAAGCCTAAATTGTTTTAACTGTTTCCAGAACCTGTGCCACGAGGGGGCCTACATGCCATGGATCGACAAGCCACTAGCTTGCAATCCGATCGACGCAGACGACTACGAAACGGATGACCCGACGGCCATTGAGATTATCCAAGACGGAGACTGAGTCAGTCGGCATTTGTCTCCATTGCCAGGTCCCAGTTTGGAGCTGAAGGAACATGAGCTTCCATTCCTCCAGTTGGTCTCTGTTGTGCGAACCCACCTTTGCTTTCTGCTCAGCCCTGCGACTTCACTGCACTACCTGCCTGGTTGTAATTTTTTCTTTTACCTGTAAAACCCTCCTGAAATGCCAGTTTGGGTTTCAGAGATTGCAATCTTGAGTGGCCTGGTTTGGCTGTGCTGCACTGCTACTCTCTGAACTGGTGTTGGGTTGGGATGGGCTGCGGGAGTGGGGTGGAGTTGCGTGGGCAAAATTACGTACAAACTTTATATATATATTTATATAAAAAATATATGTATATAAATCTTATGCGCATACATATTTTGATGTATCATTTTTTTTATACATGCGCGTATAATCGTTTTGAGTATATGTATAAAATTTATATCCATATACATAAACTTTATATGTTACGTATAAACTTTGTATGTACGTGGCTGATTGCTAATTAGCGATTCTGATGACCTATGCTTGGAAGAGACAAGGGAAAAGAGAAATCATCATCATTTGCATGAAGAGGTAATACCTTTTGAACTGTGACCAACGTGAGTGACAAAAAAATGGGAAAAGATTGATTTCGAGCAAGTGGCAGTGTTGGAAGTGAAACCTCCAGGAGTCCAGGTAGTAAAACAGAAACAAAAGACATAGCAAAATTAATATGCTATTTCGACTCCGCTGGGGATCGAACCCAGAATCTCTGGTTCCGTAGACCAGCGCCTTATCCATTGGGCCACGGAGTCGTTGATGCTACAGAAATTAGATTTATTTTGATAACGTAGTTAGTGTACGCTTTTTTATTTTTTAGTTACCAAGCCAAGGAAGTTTCTGTGAATTTCAACCTTTTACGGATAATTTTGTACCGGAGGAATAGTTACATGACTGCAAGAGCAAGACCTCGTAAAGTCATAATGGATTTCACAGGTGATGTCCTCCGAACAGCCACGTTTTTTCAGATGTTTTACAATGGAATTTGGTCTGAGTTCACCAACACAAACAACTGTTGCGCATTATACAGTAGCAGTACTAAGAGCATCTCCAACAGCCTATCCAAATTACTCTCTAAGCAAAATCTTAGCCACTCTAACAAAAAAAACGCGCTCCAACAGTCTCTCCAACCCTCCCTCCACTAGCCAAATTTAGCCAGCCAAAAATCGCTGGGCAATTGTGGGCCCCACACACATTCTCCTCCCATCTTCTCTTTGCCGGCTGTTCTCTCTCGCATAGCCCCCAGCGCCGACGTGGTCACACGTGACCGCCGCCGTCGTCCGCGCCGTCGCCCGCCGCGACCTCCACCGCAGTCGACGGCCGCGACCTCTGCCGCCGTTCGCACCATCGGCGGCCGCGACCTCCGTCGCCATCCGCGTCGTCGCCAGCCGCGACCGCCGCCGCCGTCCGCGTCGTCGCCTACCTTTCCCCGCAGCGGCTCCCTCTCTTCCTGATCTGCCCGCCCAGTGCCGCCGTCATCGCTCTCCTAGTGCGGCGAGGGAGGGAGGGAGGGAGCGGCAGCGGGGCGGCTCGACGCCTTCACCACCTCCTCCGCAGTGTTGCCGCAGCCGACCCGCTGGCACGAGCAGAGGATTGGAGAGAGAGGAAGAAGAAAGAGGAGGAGAATGACAGGTGGGGTCCATTGGTTAATAGAGAGTGGAACGGGAGAGTCTGTTGGAATAGAAGACAAATTTGACTCTCTAAACTTTTATTAGGCTGGCCAAATAGGCATTTGGAGAGCCAAAAATGGTCACTCTGTTGGAGATGCTCTAAGCTACTGCATCTATTGATTTCCTGTTGATTGACATATTTTTGTTAATAAAAAGAAAGATGTTCCTAAGACTGCTTTCTAGATTCCAGATACATTTCCATAAGATAAACCCAGCGCTCATGCCCACCTCACTTGCATCCCTTCCTGACGCTCGCGACCTCATCTCTATCTCCAACGAAAATCGAAGGCGGATTCACTCTACCGCTGGATTTGTTCAGCGGCCTCAAGGCTAGGGCCGATGAGCTCATTGACGCCTAGATCCATTACGAGGGAGGGGGCGGTTGTCGGAGTGTGAACCTTGATAATGGGGATCTGGTAGGACCCCCTTCTGTGAGTTCGGTTGAGGAGCTAGTCACGTGTAAGGAGGTGACTTGAGCCCCTCAAGAGCGCAAGAAACAAACAAACGAACACGATCGAAGTATACAGATTTGGGCTATCCGAAGGTGTAATACCCTACTTCTCTTATGGTGGTGATTTCTTGCGCTTGAAGGATTTTACAGGTTTATCGACTACTCGGAGTAGTTCTGCTTCCTTTCTTTTTGGGGTTTATTAAGAGAGCTTGACATAATGTGTTGAAGTCTCTCCTTAGTCACCACCATCCAATCCGCTCTCCTTTGGTCTCGGTTTTCCCCTTATACCTTCTTTGGGGGAAACCACATGACTAAAGTTCGAGGAAATATCTTTTTTCATATCAAGATCAAGTATGATAAGTCTTCTCAGTAACTCCTCTTCTTACCTACTCCGTTGACCTGGGGGGTACACCTGGCAGGGCCTACTATTCGCGAGATATATGTGCGAGAGCTCGGCATGCTACCGTGTCGAATCCACCGAAGCCTCAAGGCAACTTTGAGTAGGGTCTACTCTGAGTGGGGCATCACGGAACTTGCCACACACCCTACTTAATCCACGCAACGACACGATGAATAGGATTCACCATGCCTAGCTGGACATGGGGTCCGCCTGCCATTGCCCAATAAAAGGCATGGGTCTCGATGGGGTATGGTAGAACCTGACCACATCTCCTTAGCCGTGTTGAACCTGGACACAGGGCCCGCATGCCATTGCCAACACTAGTGTCAGATTCAACACGACTAAAGTGACAGGCGTTGTCTTCCATACTCATTGCCCTGGGGTAGATAATCGTCCTATCATGAATAAATGGAAAAGAGTATGAGACCCAAGATCAGCCTGAATACGATTTGGGATCTTCTCTCGGGGTGCCCCGAAGGCAACGTCTTTTGCAATCTGAGATGGGCCACGTGTCGCCCCCAAACTGTTCCCCAGCGCGGGTAACGAGCTGGGTGAGCTGACACATGTCATTTGCCTTGTGCGCGTTGTCTGCTATGGGAACCCTAGTTCCTAGGTAACCGACAACGACGGATTGAGTGAAGACCTCAACAAATATGGCCGTAGATTGTGTGATAGACTCTGTGATGTCTGGAGACAATACACTCCTATTCTCTCCTTCTCCGTTGTGCTAGTTCTCTTCCCCAATGACATTTGTCGCACCACTTTATTTTGGTCACCGCCATTTGAAAGAAAGAATGGGGAACGAGACCGCCCGGCCTCACGAGCTGTACCTTGAACACAAGTACCCCTCAACCCTATCGGGACACTCACGCCCTCTGCAAGGAACTAGAAACCTCACAGAGGCACGGGTTTAGTCTAGCTGGAGCCACCAGCCTGCCACACCAACATGACGAGTTGGAACCACTCGCCATCTCGGTGCATTGTGAATGGCTTTACCGGTGCCTTACATGGTTGAGCAATGAAGCCCTCATAGTTTGCATCCTGAATGGTTCAGAATCTGCCCAACCTCATGCTCATTCCTGCTCCTTGCAGAAGGAGTGAATGAAGATCACAAAAGAGGAGTGTGGATTTTAAACTCTCGAGGGAACATCATCTCGTTGTTTGTATGTTGCTCAAACAGTTCCCTCGAGCAAGAATGAGTGAATGAAGATCACAAAAGAGGAGTGTGGATTTTAAACTCTCGAAGGAACATCATCTCGTTGTTTGTATGTTGCTCAAACAGTTCCCTCGAGAGCTCAGAATAGTTTCCACACAAAAGAGAACGACTAGAGGAGAAAAGATCACTAGTGGATAAACCATCTTTGCCCGGTCGACCAAAAACCACATTAGTCCCGGTTGCAATAAAAAATCGGGACTAAAGATGGTTTTTAGTCCCGGTTTATAAACAGAACGGGACTACGTGATCTTTAGTCCCGGTTCACATGCTATGAGGTGTTGTCAGGGCCCTCCAGGATCTTTAGTCCCGGTTGGAGAACTAAAGTTCGGATCTTTAATCCTGACTAAAGATCACGATGATCTTTGGTCCTGGTTGGTGTTACTAACCGGGACTAAAGATCAAAACGCACTATATAATCCCTATTACTTATCGTCTTTTCCCATCCACACAAACTCCTCTCTCTCTCTTTTCATATCTAATCCTTATCTCTTTTCTTTCCTTATCCCTTCGCGTGTGGCTGAAGTGCGCAGCAGGAGGGGGAGGGTGGGCCGGACGGTGGCGGCCGGCGCTGCGGCGCGGAGGGCCGCGCGGTTGTAGGATCGAGATGTCGACTAGAGGGGGGGTGAATAGGCGATTTAAAACTAAATAACACCTAATCAAATCTAACCTAAGTTGCTAGGCTTGGTGAGGGTGAACTCTAACTAAGCAACTAAGTTATGTTTTGCAAACCTAGGGTGATAGTGGCTCAATTATATCTCTAGGAAAGTAAATCACGCTCCTATGTCGATGTTTTGCAATCCTAGGGTGATATGATCTCAAGTGTGTCTCTAGAAATGTAAATTGCACAAATGTAAAGGCGACAATCAAATGAGACAATGAGACAAGAGATTTTTCACTGAGGTTCGGAAACTCGCCGGTTTCCTACTCCCCGTTGAGGCGAGCCCAACTCCACCGCTCAACCACGAAGCCACCGCACGCCCCCTTCATCAAGGGGTGGGCAAGGCGGGAGCCGGCCCACGGAGAGGACTACCCAAGCCTCGATCACTCGGGGTAGTTCTTCCTTCACTCTGAAGGTGGTGAACTCCAAACCACTCACAAACCGGCGCCGGGCCTCCTCCACAATCTTCTCGGAGAGGTCACCGAGCAACTCCTCCACAAGCCGTCTAGGAGGCGGCAACCTCCAAGAGTAACAAGTAATGACCCGGTGTGGAGATGATCAAGTGCCACACTAGCTCTACAATGGAAGCAAATGGACTTGACTCTTGGCTAAACAACCCTCTAACACACTAGATGGATGAACACAAAGCTCAAGTGAGTGTGAGAGAGGTGCAAGGAGTGTATGCAATTGAATTGGGTGCCAAGAGAGCCCCCTTGCTGCTGGTGGGGGAGTATTTATACTCCCACCCACCAAAACTAGCCGTTGGGGGCGAAATCCCCCAACTCTGTGCTCTGTCGGTCTGACCGGAGGTATGTGGCCGGTCAGACCGTGCTACTCTGCAACGGCTAGAAAACTAGCCGTTGTAGCCCTGTCAGAGGGCCCCATCGGCCTGGCCGGTCAGACCGGCATGGGGTGGCCGGTCAGACCGGCCTCGGCTCGGTCAGACCGCCATCAGTTCGGTCTGACCGAATACGGCTTCGTCGGCTCTGTATCGGCCATCCCGAGCAGCACCATCTCGGCCTCCAGGGGGCCGGTCTGACCGGGAAAGTGCCGCCGGTCAGACCGTCACTATGTAGCCGGTCTGACCGGCCAGGGCACGCTGGTCAGACCGCCACTATGTGGCCGGTCTGACCGCCCCTGGTCAGGCCGAACCCAGTGAATTTGCAAGTGAATGTGTGTGTAATGAAAAAGAGAGCACAAATGAAAATGCAATGACCTAATGTGGCAATTAAAATCATCTCTTTGCTAGGTCATTACCCCTCTTAATAGTACGGCGAAACTAAAATTAAACTGGCAAATTTGATCGCCCTACACCTCGATCAATTCTAAATTAAAGCGCTAGTTTTACCGTCTTCTTTCCCTTTGCTTTGCGCCGTCAATTTTAATCCATCGATAATCATCCATGCGCACATATGACGTGGACCTAACTTAAAATATATAGCTCAAAGACAACGGTTAGTCCACAATTAATGCTTGTCATTAATTACCAAAATTAACACCGGGGGCCTAGATGCTTCAGCGGTGGCACGGCGAAGTGGCGGCCGGGGAAGCGGCAGCGGCTGAGCCGGCTGGCGGCTTTGCGTTTTTTCTCTTTTTTTTTAAGAATTTGTGATCTATGTATAGGTTGAGATGAAGAATTTGTGATTCATTGCATGAATTGAGATGTATAATTTCTTTTTTAGAATCTGTGATTCATTGCATGAATCTGAGATGTATATGATTTGTGTATTTGGGATGTTTATTTGATTTGGGGTTTGATTTGGGATCTATAATCTGTGGTGTATATGATTGATTTGTGTATTTGGGATGTTACTTTGATTTGGGGTTTGATTTAGGAATATGCATCCCACATAATTTGGGAGAAAATAAATTAGAGATTGAGTAGTAAGTAGCAATAAATGAAAATAAAAAAACTAACCAGGACTGCCTCTCCCATCTTTAGTCCCGAGTATTTGAATCGGGACTAAGGCCCTGTTTGATTCAGCTTAAGATTATTATAATCTGGATTATTAGGAGTAAGCTGAAACAAACAAGTAGATTATTATGCTATATTATTATAATATATAAGTCAGATTACTATAATCCAATAATCTCCTCTAGGGAAGCTTTTTCCATATTATTGAGTGGCTAAAGACCCACTATCCTTAGATGCCTCTAATAATCCAGAGAAACAAACAACTCGTAGCTTATTTTATATTAGCTTATTATAATTCAGCTTAGAGCAATCTGATTTAATAATCTAGATTACAATAATCTTAAGCTGAAACAAACAGGGCCTAAAGATAGGGATCTTTAGTCCTGAATTCGTAGTCCCGAAACTACAAGGGGTTACGAACCGGGACTAAAAACAATTTCTCCACTAGTGGATGCTCACCATGTGTCATTCTCATTTCCATCTCAGTCCCACGCAAACCAGGTCAGCTCAAGCTCAAGCACCGAGCCCTACCCCTACGTCGATCGATCTGCACGGACTGCACCCGGTCGAAACGTAGCCAGGCAATGGCGCAATGCACCACGCGAGAGAGAGAGAGAGAGAGAGAGAGAGAGAGCAGTTTCCATTTCCGGCGCTCCAGCCCTGCCCCACCGCGAAAGCCCCCCTCACCTCCATTCCTTCCATGGCGGCCTCCCTCCTCCTCCTCCACTGCACCCTCCTTTACTACTCCACTCCAACCATGGCGTCCAGTCGTCCACACCCCCCACCATCCCCACCTTAAAGACCGGAAGAACGGCAACTCCCCAACCCTCTTGTTTCTTCGAGAGCGAGGTGAAGATTTGTTTCTTGGTTTGTGTTCTTGGAGTGGAGGAGGAGGAGGAGTTGGATATGGGGCGCGGCAAGATCGAGATCAAGAGGATCGAGAACTCGACGAACCGGCAGGTGACGTTCTCGAAGCGCCGCGCCGGGATACTCAAGAAGGCCCGCGAGATCGGCGTGCTCTGCGACGCCGAGGTCGGCGTCGTCATCTTCTCCAGCGCCGGCAAGCTCTCCGACTACTGCACGCCCAAGACCACGTCCGTGTTTCCCCCGTCTCTCTCTCTCCTCTTCCTTGTTTTTTTTTCTTTTCTTCTTTTCTTGCTCTTAATTTCAGTGTTTCCTGAGATATGCATGTTCTCTTTGCATTGTGTTTGGCCTTTAATTTGATTTGTTTTTTTGGCGTTTTAGGCTGTCAAGGATCTTGGAGAAGTACCAGACCAACTCCGGGAAGATACTCTGGGATGAGAAGCACAAGGTGCGTGCTTTTCTGGATTATTTTTTTTCCAAACTTTTATTCCTACAAAATCGAATAGAAATGCTTAAAAAAATGTATTCTTGGAAAACGTTTCAGAGCCTCAGCGCAGAGATCGATCGTGTCAAGAAGGAGAACGACAACATGCAGATCGAGCTCAGGCTAGTGTCCCAACTTATTACTATCATGCATCTTTATTTCTTTCACTTCCTATTAATTAAAGAGACAACTATAAATCACCCATTGTAGCGTTTTCAGCTTTAGATTTTGCTCTTGTTGGGGACATCAGGGATGGTGGTGATTTGTCAAGCCTGTTCCATGTTGCAGGCATATGAAAGGGGAGGATCTGAACTCCCTGCAGCCCAAGGAGCTGATCGCGATCGAGGAGGCGCTCAACAACGGCCAGGCCAATCTGCGGGACAAGATGGTGATTACTGTCTTTGAAGCTTGATGTTTACTTCAGCATGGCATGCAGAGATTGCAAGTGCCGCATCTCTTCTTTTTCAGAGAGAGTTTTTGTTTCTGATGTCACCTTTGTTTCCATGATGTTGCAGATGGACCACTGGAGGATGCATAAAAGGAATGTATGAGCTCTAGATATCTGGATGATTCTTGTGCTTCTTTTGTGGATGATGAAGTCAATATCTTTTGCAAGCTCTGATCACTCACCTCACATGTCTCTGTGTTCGGCTTCAGGAGAAGATGCTGGAGGACGAGCACAAGATGTTGGCTTTTAGGGTGGTAATTTCCTTCAGAGTAACTTGTTTTTCTATTGAACTTTCACTTGAAAAATTCCTTGTGTTCTCATTTCTATTTCTAAAAACCATCTGAAATTGAGGACAAATACCATCTGATATAACTGCTCTAACTGTTCAACTAGGTTCGATAATAAGTGACCCTTCGTAGTTGCGCCTATCACTACTTTAGCTATTTTTCAGTGCCATGCTCATTCTAATGCGGTCACTTAGATCACTGGTCAATATTCAATCAGAACCATTCTACGCAACAAATCTCTAGACTAACTACCCCTGCATTCAGAATTCATATAGCGATTGAAAATTGAACTCCGTGCACGGTAGTAGTAGTAGTCAGATCTATTGTTTCTAATCAATTGCTATATGGATTCAGAATGCAGGTGTAGTTTGTTCATATATGACAAAACATCCTATTGAATCTTGACCAGTGATCTAATTGACTGCTCCATTAGATGTTATCATCTATGAACAAACTACCCCTGCATTCTGGATCCATATAGCAATTGATCAGAAATGCCAGATCTGATTACTACTTCCCTGCACAGAGCTCAAACCTCAGTGAGGGAAGCTTTACTGAAAGAAGCCTGAAAGCTGAGAGTTCACTGAGCTCCTCCCCGTGTTTTCAGCACCAGCAGGAGGTCGAGCTGAGCGGCGGCATAAGGGAGCTGGAGCTCGGCTACCACCACGACGACAGGGACTTCGCGGCCTCGATGCCGTTCACCTTCAGGGTGCAGCCCAGCCACCCCAACCTCCAGCAGGAGAAGTAGGCTGCTGAGCACTGCCAATTTGGCTGAACCTCCTGCTTGCTAGCTTTGCATTTCCTCATGCGCTGCTAGATGTATCTGTGGTTTCTCTCATGCCTGTCTGAATGAACTCACACTGATGAGAGGGTGTCAGTTGTTTTGTGCTCCTCCCAGCATTAGCACTCAGAATTCAGAAATGACTCAATGTCAGTTGCTTTTGTGCTTCTCCCAGCATTAGCACTCAGAATTCAGAAATGACTCAATGTCAGTTGCTTTTGTGCTTCTCCCTGCTTGTTTAATTAGCCACTGTTCTTGTTTCCAGATGGTGAACAGTCAGTTTGTATTATCTAGTTATCTTGGCAAGGATCAGTAAAATTCACAAGTAGCAGCCAACTCTGATAATAATTCCATCTGTTTCATCGCTTGGAATGAATTGTATGGGAAAAAAAAATCAATGCAAATCAAGAGATAACGAAACATATGATTCTGGAGTTCAATTGACCAGAATTTGCAAGAGCACTACATCCATATCGGCTATTGTTCTTATCTAGTAGGCTGTATGATTCTTGAATTCGCCAAGAAAAAGATCACCTCCTCCTACATCACCTGAGCATGTCGCCATTGTCAATGAACGGGCCACTGAACGCCGGCGAGGCGCTGAAGTTGCTCCCGGCCTCGCTGAACATGGCGCTGTGCCCGTACGGCAGCGGCCGGTCCGGCAGCTCCGGGATGTCCATGTCCCCCTCCAGCATCTTCACCGCCTCGGTGATGGTCGGCCGGAGCGCCACCATGACGTGCGCGCACAGGATCCCGACGAGCACGAACCTCTCCATGGCGCCGCCCCGGGGGCTGTCCGCAGTCGACAGCGCGCCGTCGAGCACCTCCCTCGCCTGCCCGGCCTTGACGTGCGCCCACGCCCAGTCGGTGATCAGCACGGGGCCCGACGGCGCCGACATGTCCAGGACGCGCCGCGCGCTCAGCACCTCGAGCACCAGCACGCCGAAGCTGTACACGTCGCTCTTCTCCGTCAGCTGCCCGTACAGCGCGTACTCCGGCGCCAGGTAGCCGTGCGTGCCGGCGACGCGCGTCGTGAGGTGGGACTGCCCCTCCCGGCTCCGCCTCGCCAGCCCGAAGTCCGCCACCCGCGCGCGCATGTCGCCGTCGAGCAGGATGTTGGTCGCCTTGATGTCCCTGTGGTAGATCGCCGGCTTCACGCCGTAGTGCAGGTACTCCAGCCCCTTCGCCACGTCCATGATTATGCTCCGCCGCTGCGCCCATGTCAGCGCCGGCCGCTTGCCGTCCCGGAAGATGAAGTCCTCGAGCGCGCCGTTGGGCATGAAGTCGTAGACGAGGAACTTCTGCTTCCCTTCCTCGGCGTCGTCGTCGACGATGCAGCAGCCGCGGAGCGGCACCAGGTTGCGGTGGCGGAGGTGGCTGATGATCTCCACCTCGTTGGTGAACTCCTCGTCGCCGCCCTCCACGTCCGGGTCGAGCATCTTCTTCACCGCGACCACGGACCCGTCCGCGAGCACGCCGCAGTAGACGGCGCCGAACCCGCCGCGGCCGACGAGGTTGCGGTCGGCGAAGGCGTCCGTCGCCTTGGAGAGCTCGGCAATGTCGTACAGGATGGAGCCCGTGTTCGGCCGCGGATGCGACCGCCGCTTCGCCGATCCCTCCTTGGAGATCTCGTGGATCTTCTTCTTCTTCTTCTTCTTGTCATGCCTCCTCCAGACCAAGAACGCGAGGAGCGAGGCGAGCAGGAGGAATGCGACGGGGATGGCGGTGGCGTAGATGACCGTGTCGTGGGATTTGGGCGGCGCGGCGGGAGGGTTGGAGAGGGCGAGGCCGAGGGTGCAGGCGGCGGTAGGTGGGTTGGTGGGGCCGGCGACGTTGGAGATGCCGGCGGCGTACGTGACGGTGAGGTAGAAGCAGTTGCGCGTCGTCGCGGCGCCGTCGGTGGTGGCGTTGGCGGAGATGTTGGCGGCGGCTTTGAGGCGGGAGGTGGCGGCGATGCCCGCGTCGAGGCAGCGGAGGCAGTGCGGCGTCGAGGAGAGGTCGCCGCACGCGGAGTCCAGCGCGGCCACGGAGTCGTTCCCGACGACCGCCCTGTACTCCGCGGCGGTGGTGACGCCGGCGCAGAAGGACGGCGAGGAGACGAACTGCTCCGGCGAAGGGAAGCAGGTCTGCACGAGGGACGCTCCCGGGAGGGAGAGCGGCGCCGCCGACAGCTTCGCCCCGTAGTCCTTGAGGCAGGCCGCGGACTCCCCCACCGACGGGATGCGGAAGTGGCCCGTGGCGCGGACCTGCTCCGCGAGGCCGATGGCGAGCACGGACAGCAGCGTATTGCAGCACCTCGTCATGTTCCCCGCCCCGCCGGCGCACAGGTCGGCGTCCCACGGGAACGTCGTCACGTAGCTCAGATCGAGCGGGCACGTCGCGTTCCCACCCCCGCCCGCCCCATCCACCCCCTCCATCGAGCGGGCGAGCAGCAGCAGCAGCGCCATGGCGACCGCCCTGAGCAGCGCCAGGCTCGGCATTTCCGCGAACAGTTGCTGCGCGCGGAAGACGAGTGGTGGAGCAGAGCAGCTTAGCTAATAGCTAGGCAGGGGGTGGGTGGTGTGGTGGTGGTGGGCAGTAGTAAAATGCGGCGGCTATAGATGAAGGTGGCGTGTACGGGATAAATAATTTATACGTTGCGCGGAGCTTTTCGTCTCGCTCCGGGGAGGATGACAGGTGGGGCCCACCTCGCCGGGGAGGCTTGACGGCGACGTAGGCGACGCCGATGGCCGCCGGCGGGGTCCACCGGAAGGTCGCTCGAAATGAGGAGGACGAGAGGTGGGCCCACGTGGTGGCCGAAAAGAAAGTTTCTGATATGAGGTCAAGGTTTTTTTTAATGACGTGGCGTAGATTAGAAGATACATGATGACGTGTCAGAGTGGATTAGTGCTTGATTTCTAGTACTAAATTCTAATGTTCCTGTCTTTTGGCTCTAAGCTATCCATTTGTTTACTGTTTGTACCATCCTACTCTTAGATTGATATGTAACGTTAAATCACTAGCAGCCTCATCGTTTGGCATATTTTCTGAATATGGCATATTTACAAATAAAAATTAATTTGTGAATAAAACTTTTATATATGTGCTCTTAGCGATCTAAAAGCAAAGGCTGAAAAATAAACTTCGATGAAAAAACCTCAAATTCAGCTCCAAATTTAATGTTGAAAATTCAAATTTGGCTGATAAGCATATGAATATGCCAAACGATGAGGCCCTAGGAGGCTATTTCGTTTGAATAATCAATGTAAAAGAAATCAATTAGGACTTTTGTAATATCGAACTTGTTTACTTTGCTACCATTTTCAACCTTACCAAGTTTTGACATTGCCAAATTTTAGTAAGCTAAGGTTGTCAAAATTTTGTCAATGTTGCTAAATTTTGGCAAGATTTCATATGTATTTACTAAAATTTGACAACAAACTAAATATAGCCATTCTACTTTACCAAAAAAAGATAAAGTTAAAAATGATAGCAAATTGAACAAGCCCATCAAGTTGGGATGTTCCCAAATACTTCTCCCTCATCCACCATAACCCGAATAATCTTATAATCCCCATCTCACTACAACAAGTATGCCTTTATTTAATTATTTATTTCTGGCCCTTGTAGCTTTTCAGCCTAGCTCGTTCTCGTCGTCATCCTTACCTCTCCACGACTTTTGCCATAAAAGCGATACGGAGTATTCTTTTTCAGCTAGCTTCCATCACTCTTGTGGAAAATCTACAGCACCATTGCTACTTATAGGGATAAAACGGTTCAAATAAAAGCTCAAACTAATTCTTTTTGGAAACGTGATTGAACGGTAGATCCAGATTCAATAGTAACGATATTGGTACTATTGAAACATCGAAAAAAAATATCTAAAATAGAATTACCAAAATAGAGCATCCAAAAAAATATATCAAGGGGTAAATAAGTCATAGTCATGTTTACATTACAAATTAACGTCACATGAAACTATTAGTGAACATTCAAAGCTATAACTGGTTTGAATACATCATTAAAATAGAATAATCGATAACAGATAAAGATTATGCTTCTTTATATTCGGATCGGCTGTCGGTAAACCGTATACTATTAAAACGATTAGAATAAAACTCTTGAATATTTCGATAACAGATAAATATTATGTTTCTTTTTATTCGGATGGGCAGTCAGTAAACCGTATACTACTAAAACGGTTCGAATAAAACTTCAACATTTCCGGACAATATACAATCGAAATTAAATGGTTGGCACAAATCAACTGAAAGGTAGGCGGTATGATCGGGAAATTTCCTACCATTTTCACCTTGTGTGAGGTTCTATAGAAGTATAGACATAATAGCGTATCCCCGTCCCATGGTGCATGCCAGCAGAGCCCGATACAAAGCGTGCATGGTACAACCAACTGCGACTCACAAACTACTATGTTTTAGCGATTGCTAACCTTCTGTTGATGAAAAATTCATCCCTAAATCTTGCAGGTTTTAGGCCACCGAACGTGCTTTGGGGTTGGAGGGAGGAGGAAGAAGGGGGAGATCCCCAGGTTTAGAGTGATGACCGTAGGAGGCAGCGTAGCGGGAGGGTGATAGTTGGCGGTGGATTGGTATTAGCGGCGATGGTAAAACGGAGCAACGGGTTAGAAGTTGCTGCCCGATGGGGATGGATCCTGTGGCGGGGATCCGCCGGAGATGATAAAGATGATAGAGCGGGGATATCTCGTCGGCTAGCCAGCGAGGTCAGGCGACAGCGTGCTGGGACGGTGGTGGCGGCGACGAGGAGTCTAGACTCTATGTAGGGCATCGGGGGGTTCGAGAGTGCAGCACTAAGGGGAAAAAGGATTAGGGTTTGTGTGTTTGCATGAATCTTAAAGTGATCAAATGGTTCCAAGATTGTAAGATTTTGATAGGTATTTTCTATCAAATGTGTAATAGACCGTCTTTTTTTTAGTCAATTGTTATGTGGTTAAGAGATGATACTGGTGTATCATAAACCACGAGACAGGGATTAGTTTATAGCTTTGTCTTCTAGGAGAAAAAAAGGTTTATCACCCTGCAATGTTTAGGACTGAAAACAGATAATAGGTGATATGTAAACTAGCCAAGCATTCTTTGCCATGTGCCCACGCCCATGTCATGTGTGGACAGGGTTGATATATAGTATATCACGAGTTCACGACAGAATTTATATATTAGTCAAGCAATGTGGCAAGGGGCAATTAGTTTACTCAGAAACTGCACTTTTACTCACGAGCTCGTTGGCGCACATGCATTATCATCAGCATTGACGCATGCATTGTCCCTGGACTGCGAGAAGAAACAGGTCCAAATCGAATCTGCTTCTGAACTGAACAGCGAGGTGTCTGTCTACTTTGGGTCCATTCAATCAGTAAACGGGGCATCCTGATCCTCCCTTTATTCCCTTTAGACAAATCTGCCATCAAGAGGACAAAGAGCTTAGCACAATAGCACCGAACACCAGCTTGCACCCTTCTGGCCTCATCATTTCCTTAGTACAACACATCAGCTAGAGAGTTGCTAATCCAGACGACGATGAAGCCATGAGACAGCTGCTGTGCTACTGCTACAATACAACGGCATGCAGGATGCAGTAGCAATGCAAAAGTTGACAAGTCGTCGAGTTCTCAACAAGCCCACATGGGCAGCCAGGCAACCTTCCGGTTCCGGTCCAAGCAAAGTCCAAAAAGGAAGATCACGACGTTCAACACAACGACCTCAAGAAACTCTGCCTCACCACCCTATGCATCCATTCGGAGAAACGATACTTCATTTGGCATCTTGTTCTCAAGGTGACACAATTAGTTCACAGGAACTAGTAAGGGTCCCTTTGAATCGCAGGGTAGAAAAAACAGAAGAATAGAAAAAACACAGGATTCTGACAGGAATTGAAGTGTAAAACAAAGGATTGCAAAACACAGGAAAAACACAGGAATGGTCGTTTGATTGGAGCGCAGGAAAAACGCAAGAATCGGATGAGAGAGATAGACTCAAAGGAAATTTTTCAAGAGGTTGGAGCTCTTGCTGAATTTCCTCTAAAATCCACATGCAATGTGCCATTCCATAGGAATTTCATAGGATTTGAAAAGCTTCAATCCTTTGAATCAAATGGTCAAATAGGAAAATTTCCTATAGGATTTGAATCCTATGAAATTCCTATATAAATCCTTTGATTCAAAGGGGGCCCTAATTAGTTACTACTATTACGTGTAGACTGTGTTTAGTTCCTGAAAAAAAGTTGAAGTTGGAGGAAAGTTGAAAGTTTAGAAAAAAAGTTAGAAGTTTATGTGTGTAGAAAAATTTTAGATGTGATGTGATAGAAACTTAGAAGTTTTGGATAGTTGAGAGTGAACTAGACACGGCCGTAATGTAGTAACTATCAGTAACTACCAGATAACAATGACATATCCGTAATGTAGTACGAAAGTTTCGCCGCATCAATCTCGGAGAGAATCAGTGAAACCGCCAGAGCACAAGTCGGAAGGACGAATGCTGCCGTGAATCCTTTTTCGTGAAGAAATGTTTGCTCTCTCTCGTCGTCGTTGTCGGCGGCTTGCCCTTTAATTTGGACGAACTCGCTCTGAAGCTTCTTTTCACTCGTTGAGCAAGCAGCAGTGCAGGTGCAGCACAGAGCCGCACGCGCGCGTGCTCGCTTGGACGACTTCTACTCATCGACGGAGGAACGAATCTGGGAGCACACGTGTCCGAAAATGGGCCGGAGGCGAAGTCATCAGATTCTTCGGCGGCGGCAGCATCGTTGGGCTGGTTTGCCGAGCTACCAATTCCAGGATTGGAAAAAGTACACCCAAGGTCCCTGAACTTGTCATCGAGTTACAAAATCATCCCAGAACCATAAAACCGGATATAACGCATCACTCAACTTACAAAACCAGTGCAAACTAAGTCCCTCAGCGATTTTCACTCCAGTTTTATCCGACGTGGCAGCTGACTCAGCATGAGACCCACGTGGGTCCCACATATCCATCTCTTCTTCCCCTCCCCGCTCCACCTCTCTTCCTCTCTCCTCTTCTTTTCTCTCACAGGCAGCACAGCCGGCGGGTGGGGAGGAGGCCGGTGGGGGAGGTGGGAGTCCGGCGGCGACGAGGCAACGACGCGGCGCCGCCGACGGCGCTGGCGCGGTGCTCCATCTGCTCCTGCGCCCTGTTGCGGTCGCGGTTGGCGGCGTCGATCTGGGAGAGGAGGTCGTCGACAACGTCGTTGGCGCGCTTGAGGACGCCGTAGGCGATGGCGGGGAGGCCGGAGAAGAGCTGGCCGTAGGAGTGGGCGAGGTAGGCAAGCGCTCCGACGAGCGGCGAGTTGATGTAGGTGGCTGGCTCGGAGTGCTCGTGGTCACTGCACTGGTCGGGGAACTAGTCCTGCATGTTGGGCCCTCCGATGGCAGCGCCGACGAACATCCCATCGGGTTGCTCCCCAGCAGGTAGTCCACCTGCCGACGCGCGATGGCGCGGAGGCGCGTGGGCGTGACGGCGGCGCCGCCGCAGGAGACAGTCGTCTTGGAGAAGGCGAGGTACTTGGCGTAGGTGAGCAGCAGGAAGGAGCTGGAGGTGACGTACTGCATGTTGCTGTCGCTGAGCTTGAAGAG